AGAAGCACAAGCCGCCTGCTAATACGAACCGAGGTAATATTACGATTACCCTCCTGCCTTCCCGGGCCACCCAGGGGTTACAATACCACCTTAGTTACCATTAGGTATACGGATGCCGGTACTCTGTCCGCATCGCAGATATGTAGCAAGGAGTCACCTGATTTGATCTCAACTACCGACGAAAAGAAACTCTAGGCGCGGCTGCCTTCCTTTTGCTCTCGCAATTATCTGCCGCCAAGTGCCCGCAGCCGCCTCACTAACTCCCGCATACCAATTACATGCTAACTAGGTACCTACAGGCAATAGGTAGAACATCCGAATTTCGAGCGCTTCCTCCTTCCATCAGACCTTCCATTGCGTTTCCTGAAACACAGCAGACCTGTGAAAACCGGCCCCAAGTGAGGATTGCTCGCGGTACGCCGGACTCGCCAACCTTACTGCCGACGAGTCCTTGCATCCATCACCCGTCGATCTGTATCGATCTTCATTTGCATAATTTGTCCGACTCATTACCGAGCCATCCCACTCGAGGCGAGGCAAACCCCACTGCATCTTGGCCTTGCAAACAATCAACAGCCAAACTCCCCAGCTATTCAGCCGCCGTCTCTTGTTGAATACTGCACCGTATTTATCACCCCATGGTTTCTTTAACAGTCAGGCCACAAAATCCAAACTTTTAGACGGACGGACAAAGAAATTCCACCTGCAGCAGGTGCGGAATTGCCGTGATGGAGGGGCCTAAATGTCGGTCAGCACGTTGGCTGATGTGCGGCGCCTGCCCTCTGCAGCCTGCAGCTACTATCCTGCACTATTTTGTTGTTCCCGGACCGAGACTGGTGCTGTCAACAATCTTCGAGAACCGAAAATGGACCGGCATATTGTTCTAGTCTCTCCCGCTACCTTGTGCACGGAACCCCATGTTTGAGGCACAGGACCATGGCCACGCCAACTCCATCAACCGACGTTCCTGATTCATCGTCCATTCACCTGCCTGTCTCTGCTACCTAGGCAGTCCTCCCTTGTTTTTTGGAACTCGGCTTTATGATTTCAGGATCCCATCGAGTTTCCCCTCGCCCGACGGAACGGAACGGAACGGCTATCGGGCCCGAAGGCAGTGGGCCGGCCATATGCGCTTCCATACACTCGGATAGCCCATCGCCTCATCGCTGCCGCGTCCCCTACGATGCTTGGCCGTCTGGCTTTCTTAAAAATGGCATACGGTATAACTGCATGTTCACCCTATGGGCTGGGTTTGGTCGGGACACTAGAGCATTATAACCTTCAAGCCACAAACCGATTGAGCTCTGACCTTAGCCTTTGCCCGAGAACCTACGTCTAAGCGGATTTTGGATCTAGTTGATTGTCCGACTCGCTCACGCCCCCACGAAGATGTCAGAAAACACAAATTATTTACCCTTTGTTTTAAGATTATGTCTAATATGAGACCAGTTTCAACGCAAAGATATCCAGATTTTACCTATACCCGGGTGGCGCACGATCTGCAGAGGCAGGCAACAGATGCAGGAAACAGATGCAGGCAATAAGGACAAGCGGCTTGCATCAGCACGCCATATTAAACCGGGAGACGTGGCGTTAGACCGCCCTCAAAGCCTATCTCTTGCTTAAAATTAAGCCATCCATGTCTGGGATGTCAGCTCAATTCCCGCCCCACGCACCCACCCAAACGGAAGCCATCCGGATGACCAAATAGCGCCTTACCGGTCCGATGCTTTTTTTCCACAGAAGCCGTCGAGAAGCTGGCAAGCATAGTTATGTGGCCAGCCGTCGCACCCGATACTGTTCTTCGCCGTACCCCCTCCCCTAAGCACCCGATCCATACCGAGATGTTTGCTTTTCGCTGCGCCACCGACTGTTTGCTTCAACTCTCGGCCGCAAGGATATGTTGGAAACCGCCATCGATGTGAGGCTTCTACATCCCGCGTCCCAGGTTGCAAGCTGCACGGTTCCCGTCCCATGGTGGGTGTATATCCCATGATGGGTGCATATTCTACAGCCCGGACTGGGCACTAACACTGACAGAGTGCGAGAGCACTGCAGTAATGATACCCTGTCCGGAACCTCTGCACTTATGCTTCTTGGTCCAGCTCACTACGGCTGGATAGTCTTGTATTGCCTGAGCGATAAGCTGTCCGCCTCAAAGCCGTCGAAGTGACTTCGACCCTGCCTGACCCATTGGGGCCGTTTGACGATGGCACAAAGAAGAGCCACCTTGGGTGGGTAGGTGGGAAGAACGTTTTTGCTGCACTACATACGAAAAGTCATCAGCCCAAGCTCTTCGGCAAGCGACGAAGGGCTGATGGTCAAAGAAAGACATGGTTCGTCTGGCTCGGTTTGCTACGTCAATTGCTCATGAAAGCGCCGCCATGGCTTGGAATTGGGTTCACCCAGGACAATCATGGTATCCAATAATTGTGCCATCGGTCTGAGCGTCGAGCGGTAGCCCCCGCCCCGCCCAGCCGTAAGTCGAACATACTGTACCAATGGATGCTCCGGCGCTCTAGCTGTATATAGACCACGAAAACTCGGCGCGCGAACTGGCCAATCGTGAATGGAGTTGATCGCTGACACGAGAGGTGTGAAGGCAAACTACCAAGATTAACATGCGAAGTTCCACGGATGGTTTGCATATCGAAAGGGGGTGGACGCGTCGGCACAGTGGAAAACAGTTCCCCCAATCCATCGACCGTCGAATGAAGGTCCAAGATGGGAGTTTGGGACAGCCAGGCCCAACCGTTCCTCTGGCTGCGCTGAAACACCAAACCATACGGTGTGTGAGCTGGCCACGCAAGGGCGTAATCGCCCTCCCCCCCTGTCGGTCAAGCCATCTCAAATTTTACCCGCAGTGGATTCTGGGCCAAAACAAAGGGGTCGAAATCTGCCGAAATCACGTCGATCAGACAGTGATATCGAGGTATGATTTTGCAGGCCTGAAGATGTGCGCTTCTTGAACCTGTTCGGGCCTGACGATCGCCACCAAGTCCTGAACGAAATTCTGGGGGTCACGACGGGGGCTCCCAGGAATGCACCGTTACCTCGCGATATTGTTGTTGCTCTCACTCTCGGAAATGCGGTCAAGAGTGGGTTCCTGGGAGTTCAAGCGGTAGAGTGGTCCTTGCTTCTTCCACCCTTTGCCTGTCGCAATCCAGACTCCTTGCTTCTGGCAACTGGTCCGGTGTCTCACGGCGATTAAGACGGCCCTCTTAAGGCCAGGGCCAGCCGTACAAGACTTTGAGGGAGTCGGAGGCAAGACAGCAGACTGTTGCGACTTCAACTGAACAGCAACGAGGGCCAGCCGTTGGGCCCAGAATTTACTTAACATGAGCGCCACTTGCAACGGCGCTGCTTAAGAAGAGCCAGCAAGAAGGGATTGGCGAGTGGGCGGAGAGATTGGCACCTCGGAAATAACCAAGGTAATTTCGCGCATCCACTAGATCTTTGTCAGCGGTTGGGCGGAGATCATTCGATAGGAGTTACTACTATCTGACTATTCCCGCCAGTAACAGGGAGGCCACATGGCATGTGAGCTCCTTTTCGACAGGGCGCGAGGATCTCGTTCAAGCCATTGGCAACACCTGGGGACTCGTAGTCATGGCATGCCCGAAGATGCAGAACTGTGGAGTTGCAAAATTGTTGCACGCGGAATCACGAGAGGCACTTCTTTTCATTGAAAGGACCCGGTAATTGTGGAGGCTCTTCTCGTTTCCGAACCGGGCCCCGACCACTGTCGTCGTCGCGTTTTGGCGAACGAGTAGCAAATGTCGCATTGGCCGAGTCCACAGCTCGGAACCTGGTAACGTTGGATGGAGCATTCTTCGCGTTCTCTAGTGCATTATCATGCACGAGCAAGCGAGCGAGGCTGCTCTGCAAGGCCTGTCTGGGGCGGATTGCATTAGGGGTTTCTTACCATCATCTTGCATTCCCTCAGAGAAGCCCCTGAGCGGTGCTCCCACTGTCGAAAATCAGCATCATTCCTTCCGGGCCGGGATCAGCTGATTCGGACAGTGGGTACTCCGACCTGTGTATCCGACGGCTCGTCTCTCGCCGAAGGGATGTCAGTAAATTCACGAGAGAGGAGAAGCCGCCGGAAATTTCAAAAGGGATATATTACGGAAGGCCCGTAGAAGAACACACCATCCCTGTGCCTGTCGCTTGTGTGTGACGACTGTCTGGCAGATCACACAGGTGACAGACAGCCAACTCAACTTTGGTCACGGGAGATCCATGGCACAGGGGGCATCTCCGTTCATCATTGCGGGCATGGACGCCCATTGTGGCTGTTCGAGTCTTGTCTCGGACGGTGCCTGATCCTTACGGACACAGAGAATCTTGAAACGGAGCCGATCTCCATGCCCACCGTACTGTGCGGCGGGCCTCTTAGGTACGGCCATTAGGCCTGATCTGTCTCAGTGTGGCTTTCACACAAGGTGTCTGCCGACGAACGCAAGTGTGATCCTGTCCCTTTCCCATCAACGTCCTGTAATCTGCGGTGGGCGTTGTGGCGCTTCTCAGATCGCTGAGAGGCTGTCGTGAGACGAACGACGGCGGCGCACGGCTTCTCCCCCCTGAAGATCACACGAGTTGAGTAAGCAGCATGAGGTGATCGTGCCCTTCCCCGGACCCACGGTGTCCGCATGCTGTGTACGACACGCTGGAGCGGTCAACGACGGCTCATCTCATCGGCCGCCGGACAGCGTCACTAAGCCGAGCCGCACCGCATGCAGCCCGGCGTACCAATGAGGGCGGGGACGGGAGCGGAGCCCCGGTCGGCACTGGCGTCATCGCCCGAGTCTTGCTCCACAATCATGCGGCCGAGGCCGCAAAACAAGCTTGCTTAGCGCCGTCCTACCAACCTCCTCCTCGCCCGCATCCCGACGCGCCTCGCTAAGCGTGTCTCGCTGCCGGCTACATCATTGCCCTGTCATTCTTTTTTTTTTTTTTTTTTGCCAATCGCAACCAGAACCGTATCGAAATCGACCATAATGTCCATCCCTATGAACCGCTTGGGCGGTCGCGGTACGTCTTTTTCTTGTCTCGCTTCTCGCGCTTCTCCTTTTGCCCTTGAAAGCCGCGGCTTCAATCCGCAACCGCCACGGACGTTGGGGGAGGGGCAAGAGAGTGACATGCCGTTAGAAGGATCGCGCTCACTGACACGCTGAGCATCTCATCACAGCCTTCAACCATGCCAACGACGATGATGATGACGTCGAGCGCGAGTACGACCGCCTCCGCGACGCCGCCCGCGAGGAAGCCAACAAGCGCAACCAGTGCTTTGAGCGCGTGAGTCCATGCTTGACCTCACCTTTTATGCATTCATTCTCAAAACCAGCTACAATGTTGCGTCTCTTTTCCTCCCCTTTTCTCCGTCCCTCCCCCCTCTCTTTCACAACGCGCTCATCCCCGATGCATCACAGTCCCAGCAAGCCTACCAATCCGGCGACGGGGCGGCGGCCAAGGAGCTCTCCAACGAGGGCAAGCGCCACGCGCAGCGCATGGAGGACCTCAACCGGCAGGCGTCGGAGTACATCTTCCGGGAGAACAACGCCGCGGGGCGCGTGACGGGCAGCTGCATCGACCTGCACGGCCAGTTCGTCGAGGAGGCGGAGCGGATGTTGGAGGAGAGGATCCGGGCCGACCGCGCGCGCGGCCAGGACCACCTGCACGCCATCGTCGGCAAGGGTAACCACTCGACGGGTCACATCCAGAAGCTGAAGCCGCGCATTGAGGAGCTCTGCCGCGAGATGGGGCTCAAGTACTCGACCGAGGACAACGCCGGGCGGATCTATATCAACCTCCAGGGCGGGGACGCGACGATGCCGCCGCCGCCGCAGGTCGGGGGCGGACACCACGGCGGACAGCAGCACGGTGGACAGCAGCACGGTGGACAGCAGCACGGCGGACAGCACCATGGCGGACAGCAGCACGGCGGACAGCAGCACCAGCAACCGCAGCAGGACGAGACCGGCGACCTGGTTGTCAAGCTTCTCAAGAAGCTGGAGAAAGCTTGCTGTGTTGTCATGTAGAGGGGCGGTTGCCTTGGAATGGATGGGCCTCGTCCCGTTTGGCTCGAGGCCGCCCAGCCTTTTGCGGTTTGGCCACTTGGCCCCGACTGCGCATTCGCCTGCCTTTCTTGGATACCCGGCGGGCTGAACGTCTTTGAACGATGTGCTTTTTGGTAATTGAAGAACCCACGAGGTGCCAGCTGGCTCCTCCGTCGCTTATTTTCAACAATTTGGTGCACGCGCTCGATTGACTTGTGTGTGTGTGTATGAATGTATAACATGTTCTTCATTTATGTATACTCTTTAGTGTTTTATATGCTCTTCCGATGTGAACAGGACATGTGACGGGTATGTTGGAAAAGCAGCGAGGAGATCAAACTCCCCAGCGAAGACGACAACCGGCGGAACAGAGTGAAAGGCAAGCACCTCATTTTGTATTTCTTATTGAATTTTTAGTCAAATCCTGTCTTGTTCGTTGTTGGGAACTACTCTCAGATAGAGCTCGCGATTCGATCTCAGTTTAGTCCCCTCCTCTCACTTTCTCTTATTCATCCTCAAGACCCTTGACGAAATTTAATCGAGGACGTCATGTCCTCAGTCAAAGCCTCTGAGAACAAACGACGCCTATTGCTTGTTTCCCAGCATGGGCCCCGCCCGGCAGAGGTCGAAGGCGTCGATGCATGTATTTGTTACCCGAGTTCCGAGCTCCCAGGACGAGCGCCACCAAAAGAAAAAAAAAACTCCTTAAATCCTTATCGGCTATCGCAGCTCCAGCAGCCTCGAGGCCCTGGTCGCTCATTGGCCAACGCCGACCGGGGAAAGCTTTCTATCTGCGCAATCGCTACTCCGTACAGGCAAGAGAGAAAGCCGACCTTGTCAAAGAAATTTCACCGTCATCGTCAATCAACCCATCACTCGCCCATTTACGAACCTCACGACCGCATCCAATACAAACACACACCAAGACACACATCGAGCCCACGGTATCTAAGATGGACGCGTAAGTCGATGCCACCCTTCAGGGGGGGGGGGGGGGGGGGGGGATCTCGAACAAGAGACAAACAACACAGCGGAGAGAAATGGCCTAGCTGACGCGCATCTCATCTCAAAACAGCCTTACCAAGACCGAGGAGGCCCAGCTCCAGCAGAGACTCCAGAAGCGCCAGGTCAAGGAGTTCATGAACGTACGTCGTCCCGTATTGTCCCATCGTCGTGGCCTCTCTCTCCCATAGCCCCCCGGGAGTTTCCGTCCTTCAATCTTGCCCCAATCGAACCCCCTTCGATGAAATCCAAGACCTTCCGCTGACGTGTGTGCCTTCTCTCGCCCAAACAGCTCTTCGGCAACCTCGTCGACCACTGCTTCACCTCGTGCATCGACGACTTCACCTCAAAGTCCCTCTCCTCCCGCGAGACGGGCTGCATCACCCGCTGCATCCAGAAGCAGATGTTCTCCCAACAGCGTCTGAGCGAGCGCTTCCAGGAGCACAACGCCCAGATGACGGCCCAGATGCAGCAGCAGTAGATTGACTCTATGCCCGCCCTTATCTCCGCTTCTCTCGAGCGGGGGAAGTAAGGGACGCCGCAAAAACGACAACGAGACGTGATTGTAAAAACAGAAAATGACGAAAGAGCAGCCGTCTTCGTGGAAATGATGCCCTCGGAAGCGCGCGCAGAAATGTAATACTATACTATTCCCAGCATGCGTAGGATGTGCCAGGGGCCGGGGTTGGTGTTGGGGGGGGGGGGGGGGGGGGGGGCTGAGATGCGAGGTCTAACGTCCGATCTTCGTCAGCCAGCCGACGGAGGGCCGCACCGAGTGGCTTGTTTCGACGTTGCAACCACGGAAGTGGAGGCTTTCTTGTATACTACAACTTTTTCCCAAAGGGACGGTGGATAGACGTGTGTGTCATGGCATTTGCGGGTGTGCGGAAAAGACACACTGCCAGATGAATGGGAAAACAAAACAAAACCCTACTCCATGAGCCGATTCCCGCCATCCTTCCCACATTGAATGACAAATCGAGACTGACTTGCAGTGATTGCACTCACTCTTCGGGTCATGTTGGTAGTTCCCAGCCGGTATGCTGAGGGTATCCGCTGATTTGAATTCTACATGAAATACGGGGGGATCCAGTGATTGCTGGAAAAATGCACGCATGTTTGTCCTACACACATGAACGCCTAGCCCTGTTTTTGTCGTTGTTCCCCCCTCCTGGTACATTTCCCTCGGCCGATGAAAGACCACCCTCGCTCATCTCATTAGTGCTATCTGCATTCCTCGTCCTCTCAAGACTCCTCCAGGTCTTCGCTCAGCACATCCCTGACCGCCTCCAATTGCGAGAGCACCTTGCTCTCCAGGACGTTTCCTGGTTGCCCGCTCTCGTCAGCCGTACCAATCTTGGTGCTCTTCCACTCCACCTCGCGCTGTCCGAGCGGCAAGAGTCTGTCTCGCAACAGCTTTCGACTCGATAACCAAAAGTCGACGTTTTCTAAGAGCGAGCTAGCATCCCATTGTATCTCCGGGATGTCTCTGGTGTTGGCTGTCCGTAGAGCGGCAATGACTCTTGTCAAGAGCGCAAGCGAGTGAACCTCTGCGACGGATAGAAGGGTCACATAGTGAGGTGCTTCTCGTGATGCGGTCCGGCTCGCGCCAGGGGCCTCGAAACGATCGATGCTCGACTTCAGAAGCAGAGGGAACTGGTTCAGAACATAGCCTATCTCAGGCGCGACGGTGCCGCCCAGAGCGGTCAGGAGGTTCAGCAGCAGGGGCAAGACACCTTTCACCCAAATGCTGTAGCACCTTTGCGGTCCAATGGCTTCCGAAAATGGAGAAATGTTGCCACGGCGCATGAAATTAGTGATGCCCGCTGAAGTCAGGTGGCTGAGCAGGCCATCACAAGCCATTTGTTCTGCCACCGCCGGGAGGGTCGAGAGCTCAAGCAAGAACAACAAACTCAGCTCGCCGTATATAGGATCGCCATTGATGGCAAGTTTATCGGCCCACGAGAACAGCGACGTTGCTGCGTGCATGGCGTCGTATGATGCCATGATATTGAGGATCTGTGTCTGACATTGATCCATCATTGGCATGTTGAGGCAGGCTTGCAGAAGAGCAGTGAGCAGAGCTAGGTCTTCGGGTGCAACAGCAGCTTCAGAGTCGTGCACAAGCGCGACGAGTGTTCTGAAGCCCTTAGCAACAACGCGGTCAAGGACGTTGAGAACAGTCTGGGTCAAGGTGACGGAAAATCCCTCCCCCCCGTTCTTCGAAGTCCCGAGACCCTTCTTGTCGGCGACGCTGTATGCGCGCAGCGTGACATAGATGGTCTTGAGCATCGTGCGGTAGTACGAAATGGATCCAGGGCTGAAGGGTTCCTCGACGGCACTGATGATAGTGAACAACGTCCCTAGAATCTGGTTGACGTCGTGAGACGAGATAGGCCTGCCAACAAGACGCTGGACGAGCAGCAGGCTCAGGTCAGCCCGCTCTTCAACGATGCGCATGAATATGTTCTCGGGACCCTGATTGGACCGGTTTGCCTCGAGGCACTGCTGAGCAACCTGGAGCATCTGCTTGGCAATATTGTCGTTATCTGGCAAGGAGCTGCTGAGCTCAAGCAATAGGAATTCCCAAGCGTGGAACAAGGACTATCGAATGTAAGTAAAGGGTTTTGGAAGGTGTCCGACAAAGGCGACTTACAATTTGCGCATCAACGAGGGAGAGATTCGCATTAGCGATTTCCATCTCGTGGCGGAAACCATTGTTGCGGCGGCCGTGCCAGCCAGGGTCGAAACTCAACATCTCAGTCGCGCTCTCCAGATCGTAGAAATAGCTTCTTCCAAGCTCGCCCGGTCTGAGCGCGGTCCGCTTGAAAGCCTCAAGCGAGACGCCTGGGTATTTGCTCGTAAAGTTCTTGGCAAAGTTGCTGTGCAGCGAGTTATTGTAGCTCGAAACCTCGACGCCGTCTCGAAGATAGTAGTCCAGATCGGCTACTAAGCTTTTAGCAAATGTGTCGGCACCAGCCATCTGGCGCAGGTGGTAGAGCTGCATGGCAAAGATTTCAGCAATGTAAGCAGCCATCTTGGCGTCGATGGCGGCCTTTACAGCATCTGTTTTGCTGGTTACAGTGAAGCTGCTGAGATCCTTGACGTACAGGCGCAAAGAGTCCAAGAAAGATGAGTCCTTTTGCATGGTGAAGATGGTCCAAGGCCAATGATTTTGGGATGATGCAACAAAGTCCAGGATTCGCAGTGCCTCATCAATATCCAGCTCTTTGATATTCTTGAGCTTGGTGAAGGCTGTTGCGAGTACTGAGTTGGGTGTGGAAGAGGCGTCCTTCTTGGCGCCTTTGAGGGCATCTCTGGGTGTCTTGCCCGTCAAGAGACAGTTGGATAGCCATTGCTGACGATTCTGGACGATAGTGGAGAAGAACTTCCATGTTGTCTGCACATCCTCAGCAACGAGGAAAGGCTTATCTAGTCGCGACAGAACCTGGATGAACGACCGAGACAGGAGAGGGCCAAGATAGCCCAATAGTGAGGGGGGGTCATCATGTGCTTTGGCAGCACTTAGGACCAACGCCTCGAGAAGTAACAGTGCTGGCCGCCGAAACTGCTCGCAGATGGCGCAAAGTCTTGCTAGAATCGACGACGTCTTGAAGAGGTGGTCCTCAAAAATCTCCGAGGATCGCTCGAGGTAGTTCGCAACCCGCAGCAGCGTTGTTGTGAATTGCAAAGCCGAAACAAGCTGCTCCTGTGCAGAAGCCAGTCTGCCTTGGTACAATGTCGAGTCAGGCAGTTGAAGACCGTTCACCAATGTAGTGAGAAGCGGCTGAAACCTCAGAGAACCAGTGGACGGCGAGAGGAAAGCGTCAATAATGTAGGACGCCGCAGGCTCCAAGCACGCTGTAAGCGTCTCTGAACTTTCTCGGTCACCCATTCCGTACGTATGCAGAATAACGTGGTCCATGACAGGGACGACATGGCGAATGAGCAATGTCTTGTGCAGCTCCGACCCGAATCGCCAAGTCGACGAAGTCTCGAAAACATCGACCGCGGCCTGGGCAATGGCAAGACTGACCTTGCCGAGCACCTTGTCTGCCACACCCAGCCAAACGTTATTGGAAACCTTTTGACGTCCAACCAGCTTGTTGCCAGATTTACGCTGAACAGCGCTACTTTTAACACTGTCAATAAGACTGGCGAAAAGACGCACAGCTGAAAGAAGGAGTTCATATCGGTCCCCGACGAGGTCGAGATTACCGGTCATCTTTGCAAGCTTGCCTGCTTGAGCTTCTGAGTTGAGCAGCTCGCAACGCGCCAGATAGGACCATACTCTTGTTGGGCACAACGGCAGGATTGCATGCAGGAACTGGACGCACGAGTTGAGGACCGCAATGCCTTGACCTTCCGTAGCTTTCTCATCTTGCATATAGGCATCCATGGTCTCGCACACAACTGCGACAAGGTCTTTGTTTCCAGAAATGTGCTTGCCAATCTCCTCCAGCAAATCCAATCCTGACTTTAGCGATGTTTCACCGCTCAGGCCTTGCTTCTCAGACTTGAGCACCTCGGCGCGGAGCAGAACCGCAAACAGCGCGATCGTCTCCGCAGTCTCCTCAGGCTGGAAGGCATCCAATTCGCTGCGGTAAGTCTCAGGTGCAAGTTGGACTTCCAGTCTCTTGCCAAGGAGGGCAAGGGCAGAGTGCTCGTATTCCATGAGAACAACGCGGCCCGTGTCTGTAACAAAGCGTCCGACTGTTTCCGCTGGTATCCTAAAAGCATCATCATGACGGGTCCTCCGATTCCATGCCGTAGCCGGTGTGAACAGTGGAATGTCTTCAAGAAGATAGAATGTGTTGGTGTTGTCCTCCTCCTGGGCCAGCTCATATTGCTGATAGTCGTCGGGAAGAATGAAGGTGAGGGTTGGAGTTTTGCGTAGTAAGTTAACCACGGTATCCATCCGGTCATCTGCAACTACACAGTGGGCCAAAGTCCGGCAAATATTGAGGAACGGCAAGAGTTCGAAAGGGTACCGGTTCAAGGCCTGATGGAAGTAGTATTCCATGGCAGTAGCGTCCTGGAGAAACTCGGCCAAAATGTCATTTGAGGGGTGAAGCGCGGGCCTGGAAAGGTCCCAGTACTGCCGACCGGCCCCAAGTACAGACAGGAGAGAGGTGACCGACTCTGACTGGTATCCAACAAGCGGGTATGTAGCCTTGAGAAAGTCGACATAGGCTAGTCGGATCCTAGAGCTCAAAAGCGACGAGAAGGCTCCGTCGCTGGAGCCGCCAATAGCAAGTGCCATCTCAGAAAGCACTTCGTAGGCTCGTCCGTTGGACGTGACGGCCACCGCAAGCTGTTCCACAACCTGCAGGTCTTTGTCGAGCCCCGCATTGTTAAGAAAGATATCGAATGACTTGCCATCAAGAGAGACGATACTTCCTGCGGAAAGCCGGCGACTGGGAGTAGGTCGAATTAGCACACCGGCCTCAAATGTCTCCTGTGATCGCTGGTTCTGGAGAGCATCTCGCTTCTCGATTCGGTCATGGTGCGAGTAGAACATGCGGTGGACAACGACAGTCCAAGCAAAGATGACGGGGCTTTGACTTTCACAGTCGGCATTCGCCGCTGCCAGGATTGCGTTGTGCACCTGTTCAAGCACTGCGGGTGCAGTAATATAGGGGTCCTCATCTCCTCGGTACTCTGGTGCTTCTTCCGAGAGACATTCTATGGACCTCGAGGGGTTTAAGAGCTTAATTGAGATGGCACAAATGAGAGACCTCAGGGGCATGATCAGAGAAGCGATCATATCAGTTGGCTGATCGAAGTTAGTTATCGTCCTGAAGGAGCTGCCTCTCGACTTACCGCCGTTATCCCGTTCAGGAATCCGTAGTTTTCCATGAGGGTGAACCACTGACCGACCACAGCAGAGGGTACAAACGCATCCCCATTGCCATCGATAGACTGAAAGACAACCGTCAAAGCATGGACAACTTCGGTCAGGGCTGTCCTCATCCACTCCAACTCGAGTTCGTCCCCTAGCAAGTTCTTATCCTCAACAACTGCGTCAAGACCCTCGGCAAGCCGACCAATGGCTTCAGTGACATATTGTAGATACGTCGTCAGGAGATTGTCGAGGTATTTCGGACGATCGTTCGCTGCGATCAGTTGCGTCTGCATTGATGGCTTGTCGACCGTTATAGATGCTGGCGCCGAAGGCTGGGTGTACAGCACGGTCTCTTGGACCAATGCGGCAGTCATCAGGAAATGACGTCTTTCTGAAAGGTACGTTTGGAAGATCCGTTGTCGCCTCGACTCTTCCTTCTCGAAGTCGGCCCAAATCGTCTCTGCGTCCTGCGCGGCACCGGCAATAGGCACCAAAGCAGATGATTGGATGTTCGCAACTCCCGAAGCTTCCTGCAGGTTTATTATGTCCTGAGAGGAAAGTGTTCCTGTCAGGTGGCTTGCTGGCCGCATCTGGAACTCAACCACTGTCGCTCGAAGCGCAGCGATGAGGTTGACTTTGGCATTCTTACTAAGCCATTGTGCATCCTCCTTGATTACCTTGATGTCGAATTTCTCGTTCGGCTGGGGGGTGACGTGTATGGCGGCTGTCCTTGTCTCAAAGTTGGATTTGGTAGAATCGCCCGGCGGCGCAAAGGCGGTCGCTGGGTCTTTTATAAGGGATCGCACGTAATTGTCTTGAAGAAACTGTACGACAGCCTCGCTCTTCCGTCTCGCGTCGTCTTTGTCTGAAAGCGCAACTGCAATGAGCTTCCAGGAGCTGATTTACGGGTCAGTCGTCTCGGCGTCTTCAAGTCAACAAACGGGGAGGCTACCCACATAATGATGGTGTCTCCATTCAGGCATTCCTCCAAAGGAGGAAAATAATGACTGTCTGCCACTTGCGCCATTGCCGCAGAGGTCGATTGGGCAGAACGGTCAATTTCTAGACTGCATCAGGCGAGGCTGCGGTGAGCTATGGTGCCTGAGAAGCAAAACGAGCAAGTCGACGCGCTTGTACACCTTGGACCCGCGAATGCTTTTGCAGCCTTTCCGATGGTGGTTGGTTGGAGCTCACTTTTTTTGGGAGCTCCAGTTCCTCCAGGGTTTTTCCGGCAGACTGCACTAATCTCCTTTTGATGTTAGCGCCCGTTCTGGGCACGGATGCCACAATAGGCAGTCCCGGCTCCCGGGGTTGCGAAAGCGGCGGGGCAGTCTTTTGGGGGACCTTGCAGCATGTCTCTGCATCTACAACACACTGTAAAAGCGAACCGTTTAACAGCAGATCAGACAGTGCGTTTAATTCTCCGGTTTACTGTCCTATTTTGACTCTACATTCAATTGCCGCCGTTGTTCTCGTTTAAATACCTGACTCACCGAACCCAAGCTCGAGACCAAACCAGCATCAAACCGGTCTTTTCCATCACGAGATTCGGACCAATACTAAGGATACACGGCTCGGTTGACTCGATTTTAAGTCAGTTTCAGTATTTTTCCAAGATGCCGTCCTCGGATATCATCGATCATTCACCCCACCATCCGGACCCGTCGCCACCGATTCCGACGGCCTCCAACTTGATTCTTATCGACAATTACGACTCTTTCACCTGGAATGTTTACCAGTACCTCATTCTTGAAGGCGCGAATGTCACTGTTTACAGAAACGACAAGATTACTCTGGCAGAGTTGATTGATAAGAAGCCGACACAGCTAATCATCAGCCCTGGACCTGGGCATCCCGCTACCGATTCTGGAGTCAGCCGAGATGCCATCAAGCACTTTGCCGGCAAGATTCCCATTTTCGGAGTATGTATGGGCCAGCAGTGCATTTTTGATGTCTACGGAGGCGAGGTCGGGTCTGCGGGTGAATGGCTTCATGGCAAGACGTCTCCTTTGACGCATGATGCCAAGGGTGTCTACGCTGGTCTGCGTCAAGGTCTTCCGGTCACTCGATACCACTCGCTCGCTGGCACTCGTGTCACCCTACCCAGTTGTCTAGAGGTCACTTCTTGGGTTGCAACAGAGGACGGCTCACCCGGTATTATTCAAGGTGTGCGACACAAGGAGTACACCATCGAAGGCGTGCAGTTCCACCCGGAGAGTATCCTCACCGCAGAGGGTCGCACCATGCTCCGCAACTTTCTGCAGCTTCAAGGTGGTACGTGGGAGGAGAACGCCCGACTGAAGAAAGATGCCACAACTGGCAACGATGCCAAGACGGCCGCTTCAGCGCCGGCCACGGGCAAGAAGAACAACATCTTGCAACAGATTTACGCCCACAGGAAAGCCTCCGTCGCCGCCCAGAAGTTGATTCCCTCACAAAGACCTGCGGACCTTCAGGCTGCCTACGACCTTAACGCCGCCCCGCCCTTGGTTCCGTTTGTTGACCGACTGCGCCAAACTCCGTTCGACGTATCCCTGATGGCAGAAATCAAGCGAGCCTCGCCTTCGAAGGGCATTTTTGACATCAACATCAACGCTCCAACACAGGCCCGCAAATACGCTCTCGCGGGCGCTAGTGTCATCTCTGTTCTGACTGAACCCGAGTGGTTCAAGGGCAGCATTGAGGATCTTCGAGCCGTGAGACAAGTGCTGAATGGCATGCCCAACAGGCCAGCAATCCTTCGCAAGGAATTCATTTATGAGGAGTACCAGATCCTCGAAGCTAGACTAGCTGGCGCCGACACTGTTCTGCTAATCGTTAAGATGTTGGAGACAGACCTGCTCGAGAGACTGTACAAGTACTCTCTTTCTTTGGGGATGGAGCCTCTGGTTGAGGTCCAGACCGCTGAGGAGATGACGACGGCATTGAAGCTTGGTGCCAAGGCTATCGGCGTCAACAACCGCAACTTGGAGAGCTTTGAGGTTGACATGAACACAACAAGCAGACTGAGAAGCATGGTTCCAGAGAACACCATCATCTGCGCTCTCAGCGGCATCAACAGTCATAAGGATGTTGTCTTGTGTAAGAATGATGGGGTTGATGCTGTCCTGGTTGGGGAAGCCATCGTTAGAGCACCGGATACAACAGCGTTCATCAGAGAGCTGTGCTCAGGGACCGCTGCTGGACCGGAGCCAGTCAAGACTCAACCATTGTTAGTCAAGATTTGTGGCACACGGACCCCCGAAGCAGCACTTGAGGCTGTCAAGGCCGGTGCTGACTTTGTCGGAATTTGCCTGGTTCCGGGGGCAAAACGGTGCATATCCGATGAGACAGCGGCAGCGATCTCGGAGGCCGTACACTCCTTCACGCCCTCGGCCACACGCACACTGACAAACATACCCACAAAGTCCGCCACGGATTACTACACCGCTTCGGTTGCTAGATTGTCAAGTTCCCGCCCGCTTCTCGCCGGGATCTTCCAGAACCAGCCTCTGGATGAAGTTCTCGAGAAGCAGAAGCGCTTCAACTTGGATATTGTCCAGCTCCACGGCAATGAGCCTATCGAGTGGGCAAACCTGATCCCTGTCCCCGTAATCCGAGCCTTTAAACCCAGCAACGTTGGCATCGGTCTTCGCGGCTACCACACAATCCCTCTACTCGACTCCGGTGCCGGCTCTGGCAAGCTTCTTGACGTCTCTAGCGTTAAGGATATCCTGGCAAAGGACACAGAACTGCAAGTTATCCTCGCCGGTGGCTTGAACCCCGACAATGTGCTTGATGCCGTCAAGGCTGTGGGCGACTTCGGCAGCCGCATTGTGGGCGTCGACGTAAGCAGCGGAGTGGAGGAGGATGGGAAGCAAAGCTTGGAGAAGATCAGGACATTTGTCAAAAACGCGAAGAGCTTTAGATAATCTAAGGCGCTCGCCGCCAATGCAAAAAGACCTGAACATGATTACTTCTTGTCACATAAACAGTGGAATGGCATCAATTATTGTGTCAATGTAAGAGTGTGTCAAATAAGGCTGTTGAAGTTGCGTAAACATGGCAATCCTATCAAGTGACAGGTTATCTTGTTTCTAATGCATTCGATCTGGTAATCTGGCATCATGGATGTGAAGTAGAAAAGTATTTTATTCCAACTGGCGGTTTTTCATCCTTAGCATTGCCAATTTGGTCGCTTCCTTCCACCCAATGAAAGGTGTAATACCATCAGTCACTCCTTCCATATTGGTTCATACTAATGGCGTCCTTCTCAATCATGGGCTCTTCTCGGCCTCTTTTTCTCTCTTCGTATAAGTAAACTGCCAATCCTCTCTAAACTCAGTCTTCCATTTTGTCCCTGGCATACACACTGCACTTGCTATCGCTTTATTTTGCTCAACTCTTGCAATCTCCAACCAACTTGCTCAACAGACTTACAACAAATCAACTCTCATTCAAAAAATACCGCTTATCACACATAACACGTCGCAACCCACAATGGTCAGAGGGATTTTCAAAGACCTCGTCATTGCAGCGGCTGGTGACTTTCCTAGTGATTGTCCCAACGAGCAAGCGGCCATGGAATGGACAAAGCTACGGAAAGGCCGGTTCTCATCAGACTTGGATGATTCTGTGACCCATCTTGTCTGCACAGACAAGGATTTCAAAGACAGGAAGAAGAACCGCCGAAGTACTCTCACCCCTGCCCATGCCATTCCCTTTGTGTACAAGATGTCATTCAACTCATCGTATCATACTGTTTTACTGGGAAAGAGCTAACTGTAACTTATCATCACTAGTCAAGCAAGCGGAGAAGGGCAAGAAAAAGATTCACATCGTCAGCTGGGACTGGTTCAGGTTCTCTTGCACTCACAACAAGAAGCTTCGTGAAAAGCACTATGACTTCTCTGCAGTGAGAACCAGTGAGAGGGAGAAGTCTCGACAGCAACTCAAGATACAAAAGAAAGCTCGCAACGCTTTGATTGGACAAACATGGATGAATCCAGGTCAGTGGCTCCTTCCAAGTCTCAAACTACGTCCACAAAAAGTACAGTTACTCACTAGATTAATTGATAGACCTCTATCGCATCTTCACCGACAAGACCTTCTTTGAGTACAAGGTTGATATCTTCAGGACTTCAGAGGATGAGTATGGAGCTCTGCATGAGAAGTATGAACTTTATGTAAGTCAAAAGCCGTCAAAACGTCTCTGAAGTTTGCGCACAACGTATCAAGACCACATCCTAATTATCACCTGTGATATTTATAGCTCTTCGAGTCCTATGCAATGCCGCGTCTGTACTGGTTTGGCGCAAAACTCTTCCACAAGAAGGACAGTGGCAAGTGGCAGGCACGCGGTATTGAGCGCACAAGCCCTACACCAGGACTTTTCAAGCAAGAGTTTCAGCATTTCGTCAAGTTCTTCGAACTCAAGACTAGTGTTCGATGGTGGGACAGAGTCATCAAGGCTGGAACAAGAGAGAAGATCTTCTTCAATTACTCGCCGCCGGTAAGCAGCCTTTGCCCGTCAATCCCATTTCCCTCGTCATGAGGATAGCAAAACTTCAAGTTTGGCTTACTTGGTTGATAGATCTGTGGCAAGCCGGTTGGGGGTAGTATGAAGGGCGATCTGTACGACAAGTGCGTTTGGAGCAACAAGCGCTGGCTCCGACGCTGGGCAGAGTTGTTCGGAGATGAGCTGCCTGCCAACCTCCAGATTGAAGATGCAGCCAAGAACCTTCTCGACAATCTCGACGATGAAGCTGGTGAATTCCTAGAGGCTCAGCCACACTGTGGTGACAAGGCGTCCAATGACATTAACTGCGGAGCTGCCGAAAGCATCACAAACAACTCCTCGGACAACAAGACTGAGGATGAGTTTAACGAAACCACTGTGGTTGACAAATAATCCTTGGAAGTATAAGGATAAAGAACCTCAGTATCTCAAATGGCGGCAACTTGCTTGCCTTTAACGTAAAACAACTAAAACAACAACTTGAACAGGGTCCATGAATAGCACAGCATAGGCCCTGAACGCCATAATAACATGGGCGTACACTTTGGAGACCTCAATATCACGCAAAAATCATACAAAAGGGTAAATCAGATGGATCTGGTGCCTACAGCACCAAATCAATAGCTTTCACAAAACTATGGCATCAGTTGGAAGCGACAAAATGTCAGTGCTTGGAAGGAGAGAGAGAAGAGTCACTCGCAGTCACGGCAGATATGTGACAGGACAGGTTATCTGCGGTGGTAATGAGCCTGACATGAGGACACTTGGTTGCTGAGATCCAGGGGAGCAGGTCGAGCTTGGATGCAAGGGAGGGCTCTTTGGGACGGTTGGCAACAACGTCAATCTTTTTTCTTTGTTTCCTGTCTTCGACTTTCTTGCAGTTACATAGATCACAGATCCTCAATCTTTCTATTGAAAACAGGGTCCGGTAGCCTAAAATACAGTTTTCTCTCTCACACCCACCAAGCCTCTTTGACGGCAAGTGTGAGACGTACCTAATAACGGGATTTCCTCCCTTCCATGACATAGGAGCCGCGGTCCCAAAGAATCTTGAACATAAAACAGTGTGCTGAACGTCCAGGCGAGTCAAGGTGAGCTTTCTTGCATTTTTGTTTTTCATTCCTGTTCATCGCCAAACAAAACACCTGATATCTTGCTCAGGGCTCATGATTCACTGTCATCATTATGCCAAAATAGCACAAATACCAATATCTAGATAAATGATTGTCCGCGCTGCGCGGGAAGCCTGCCCTGCATAAGCCTGCATCCTAGAAGAATTTGAAGGCCATAGGCTTTTAGACACGCGGCTAGCGCCACAATATCGGACCCATTCCAGTACCGATTCGCACTGCAGTATCTGTCTCGCGATATGCAGCCGGGGATACATGGAAAATACAACAAGACGCAGCACGTGCCAACGCCGTCGACAAAATCTATTGCAAGACGCCATGAGCAACATCATTGTCATTCGAACTGCTCAAGTCTTCCTGAGATACGGTGGCGTAGCTGACTCGAAGTGCTACGACGGCACGGCAACGCAATGCCAGGGCACGCTCGAGTCCCACACCCGTTGCTGGTGAGTCCGTGTTTGAGTTTGTTAATATTCTGGATTTTCCGGCAGCCATCAAATGGAATAGCACGAATAATGATTACGGGCGGCTTGCCGAGTGCGTAACTTACTACAAGGACGCCCTCAGGAAAGAATTTGATATCTCGTATGCGAGCAGGTCAGATACAGTGGCACCACCGAAATCGATGTGGTTGCGAAGACGGCGCATCCAACACGTCTGCCATCATAGGATGGGTTATCGGTGGCTTGGAAGTCGTGATGATTGCAGTATGTGTCGTTTTTGGCTTCTCGAAAGGTGTAAGGGAGTTCCAAGGGCCAAGGAAGCACCAGTATCATCACAGGACCTGGTACATGATACCAGCATGACGTGCAGTTAGGAATAGCGGCGCACAACGATCTGTAGAAGCTCCATCACACTTGCTACAAGTAGCAGCAAAGATATCATTCTGTACCTATGGCCTCACCTCTTATTCATGAAGCCTATCCGGAAGTTTCAAGTGCTACGGCTATTGGTTGATTGCCATAGTGCAGCCGAGGTAGGCTGAGCTGTAGAAGCCATAGCATAATGAACAGGCGGGAGTTGTGCACGCCTGTCAGCCATCTGAAGAAGTCACGTTTTGGGTTTGACTATGATTTTCTTGGGGCGAGAGAGAAGCAAGGAATTGGGAACTTAGTCGTTGCGGGATTGCGTTGCGTCAACGGTCGTCAGCTTTTGTACACAAACAAGTAGTTTCGGGATACCTTATTTGGGCCGTCATCGGCAGTCGTTTAAGCAACCATGCCCCTAATCGATGTTCCTACACAGAGCGCTTTTCTGTAATCGAATAGAGCTTCTTCATTCCACGATCTCTTTCTACCCGCAACCTAGACGTCAACAGTCGTGGCAACCCCCTTGACTGCCATACCCCCGTCGTCGCCCTCAATCCACACATCCCACCTCCTTTCCTTCTCGCTCCCAACCCGTGCGGCTTCCTTTTCGCGAACGCAGAGCTTCATCTCGCGACCGCAATACAGCGGCGCAAGGTTCCGGTACCCGTACCAACGCACGCGCTGCCCGTTGCCCAACCCATTCAGGAACGTGAGCATCAGCGCGAGAGAAAGGGGCCCGTGAACTAACGTCGCCGCGTGTCCTTCCTTCGCGGCCCACGCTGGGTCCAAGTGGATTGCGTGCGCGTTGTACGTCAGGGCGCTGAAGTTGGTGAGTAGGTTCTGCGTTGGCGTAAGAGAGAGAGACGCCGTCGACTTATGGGGGGCTATTGGCGCGAGGGTCAACTTCAAGCCCGTCACATGGAAAACTCCCAACGGGGTTCATGGACCAGGGACAGATACATACGTTTCAAGACCCGCCGAGTCGGTGCGGAAGTATCAACATCTGGAAGAAAAGCCAGCGTCCTCCTTTCCTCGATTGCGGGACTTTTGTTACCACCGGCGGCATCTGCCGCCGCGTACCGACGCCAGAGCTCGACCCAAACCCTCCCCTTCTCGGCCCTTACATCATCCACGCTCTCGATGCACTCCGCCCGCCGTCCATCTAGGCAAAGCTCATGCTCCAAGCCCTCGCGGAAGATGACCTCGCCGCCCGCCCATAGGCGACGCGTAAACGGCGCTCCGGGACAGTGATCCGCATCCGTACCGTCTGGCATGAGCCTGGACGGCGGGGTCTGCAGAGGGAAGTAGACTAGATGGTGACCCTGAGGCAACGATCGAACAGGACTTGACGATGTGGGAAAGTTCAGTGGTGTTGGATTGGAGAATGAAGAAGATCCAGGCGATGGGAAGATGTCCGAGAACAAGAGGTCCAGAAGATGCGATGGTGTTACCGAGAGGTGGTCTGGGATTTTTTTGCTGGTGTGCAGGATCTTAGCGATTCCAGCCTCCAGTGAAGTAGCGGCATGTTGAGTTGAGTAGCCCCGGCGTACAGCGTGGAGCCGGGAAGTAAGTGGTCTCATGCTCACGATCCCGTTGACGACTTACACAGGGTGACTGACGTATGAAATTGAAATTAGAAGTACTGGGTGAGTATGCATATAGGCATGGAGTAGGTGTAGTTGCATATCGGATAAGACTGTAACTCATGCAAAGCCCTGAAGGTTTCTGTGTAGAAGGAATACAAGGCGAACAAATATACAGAAAGAACAGAAAAGACAAAAAGCCACTAGAATTGAGAGAGTAATTTTACAGCTATTAGGGTCGACGTATGAAGCATAGAGCCAAATAGAGACCAACGTCAGATTACTTGAGCACACCATCACAGGCAGGTGGTAGGTATATCAAAACTGGATTCAAGGAGTGACTGAACATTTAATCAATTTCCATTCTATCTAGTCGCGATCAATAAGCGGTCGCCTCCCGACCGCTCCTGAGTGTTCTCCATCTGCAAGAGAAACATCTGGACACTAGTTAGGCGCATGTTCCTGACATAGCCGAGAATAGTGATCGTACCTGTGGACTAGGTCTCAACTCAAGAGGCCTTCATAACAGACCGAAGCGGGCTCGGGCGCGCCACTTGGTGAGTGAGGTGAGCCGGGCTCATCGGGCGCCTGACTGCTAGGAGCCGATGGGCGACCTTCGGCTTGGGCGCCGGCGCGGGCTGCGACGCTGTGCGCGCGGATTCCTCTTCGCTGTTATGCTTCAGAGACGGTACTTGAGTCGATCCCTCGTTCTCGAGGGGCTCGGTTGGTCAATCTGAAAGGGTCAGCCGGCTGCAGCAAATGCAGAGACGGAGAGGGATACACACCGTCGTAGTACTCATCGTCGTCCTCATCAATATCAGCCAACTGCTCAAAGTTCACCTTGTACCGGAGGATACCACCGATGCCACCGAATCCCTTGACGAACTGGTTTCCTTCCGTGGAACGGTCCGAAACGAACTCTAGGTTGGTACCAAAGTCCTTGTAGTGCTCCGCAATCCACTCAAGGAAGGATTCTTGGGTGACAACTTCCATCTCCTGACCGGTTTCCTTGTCCATGAAGATGGCGCGGTCTCCGGTTTCCTGCTGCTTGGTGGTGTGCAGCAAATGCTCGGTGCCCTGACTGTCCTTGAGCTTCCAGCGGGTAATCTCCAAGTTCTCGAAGACAATGAGAGTCTCAACAGCACCGAGCTCCAGAGCCTTGAGAGTGTCATCGATACCGTAGCAGACACGTCCAGTGTCCTGGCTGATCTCCTCGAAGTACTTTCCGATGAGCTTCTTCTCCTGGATGAACTTGACGTTGCCGAGAGTCTCGGAGGACAGCTCGATGGCCTGGTTGAAGCCGTTCTCACCACCGTAGGAAACGTCGACAACCTTGATGACCTTTGTGGCCAGACGGTTGTCGAACAGGTCGGAAGCGTTGAGGTCAGTCTTGAAATCGGCGGAACCAGCAAGAATCAGACCGGCGACGTTGGGCTTGTCGTTGGTGATGAAGTTTTGGACAGCCAACTCGGCAACCTTGCGGACGTAGTTGTGGCGCTTTTCCTCACGAAGACGGGCGAAACGAAGGGCGGACTGACCACCACGGCCGTGCTTCTTGGGGAGATCGACAGAGAATTTGTGGACGACTTCTCTTGTGTTTCCGGAAAGAGTTCCGAACAGCGCGCCGTTACCGTCCATGATGATGAACCCGAACTTCTGGTCTGACTCGAGCAGCTCGGCCAGAGCCTCCGTGTGGAACTTGTTGTCACAGAGGTAGAGGGACGTGTTGATGGGCTTGAAGGGCTCGAAATCGATGTTGACCTTCCTCTCCTTGCCTTCCTGAGTCAAGATTTCACCGCAGTAGACGACCAGTCCGTTGGGAGGGACCTTGTTGTACAGCTTCAAGCGTTGCTGGGTCGAAGTAATGGCTGAAAGCACGGACTGTCTGTTGACTCTGGACTTGATGTTCGACGCCGTTCCCTATACGAGTCTCGTTAACAATGTTTCGTGTCGAGAAGTGTGTGATTACCGGGACGTACGTATTCTTCGGCCAACATCTTGGCGGCTCGGGAAATCTGATCCTTGGGAGCTGTAGTGGGGGTCAGTCGGGCCCAGCACCAGCGGCGGCATCGTGGAAGGAAACGTACGAATAATGAGCGAAATCATAGACGTGCCGTTACCACGAGCGGCCTCAAGGCGCTTGATCAGCTTCTTGACCTTCCATATCTCGATCTGTTGTTCCATCCCATCAGATGGGAACGTCAGCCTGCAGGTTCGGGGTGGGCGCGGGGCAGAAAAAAAAGGAGGGGCTCGGAGGCCACGATGTAAGAATCAGAAAACAACTCACGTTCTTCTCGGCCTCGTTTGCCTGAGGGTCTGACATCTTGAGTAAGGGTATTGAGGAAGACTCGGGGGACAACAAAATGAAGGTTACGCGTTCGCGTGCCGGTAAGGTTTTTGTTGTCGTCGCGCGGTTCTCCGTTTGCGATGCGATCGGGTGGTTGCAAGGAAAGAAAACTTGGTGCTGGTCGATTTTTGTGAGTGTGCTGTCACCGCACAAGGATCCGGCTCTGACAGTGGCAGTGGTAGGGCGCTAAACCGCAAGCGAGTCATATGTGCCTTCTGTTTCTGACTGCCTAGCCACTCAGCCCAAGGTAGCCTGATGGGTACCTCAAGTGGCTAGCTACCGCTACCTACCTACCTACGTAAGTACTCACATCCTGACACTCGCACGTACCTTTGTTGTTTTTGGAGCCGCCCCCTTGCCAATACTTGTTGTTCGGATTGGATTGTGACAACCTTTCACATTTCAATAACAGAAGGTATGCATTCCATGCTCTTGACTTATGAGAAAAAAGAAATCTCTGGGACAAACAATCTTTATGGCTATACTCTAGCCAGTTTCTCCGGCAATAGAATTCATTAATGTCTGCTGAAGAAACAACCAACTGCAGGCTTTTGAGACACAGATGCCATGCTCCTGTTAGGTATTAGTTCTCAAGTCGTCAGACCGACCCCACCTGATTTAACAGGTTCCGCCGCCCCCAGCCTGAGAAAACAGCCGATGCAATGACCTCAGCGGGTAGGGATGGCTATGTAATTAAACGAGCACTGCAGCGACAGCCTATTAATCACCAACTATGTATCTAACGAGCTAACTCTATTGCAACCTCGCAACACGCCTGTCACCATCACAAGCTCCCCCCCGTCATTCCCCGTCCAGCTTGTTCATTGCGGTGCACTGCCCAAGATGGCCTCCTCCGTACCCATCCAAGTCGCGGAGACAATACAAACCGCGCACATCAACCGGACCCCTTCCCCGAACCACGACCTCAATCCTTCCACAACCGCCTCCGAGAAGGAGCCTGTGACGTTGGAACCCATCTCAGCACACGACGACCTTGACGACGATGATGAGCTTGACGACTACATCCCCCGCAGCATCGTGTCCCCAAAGCAGCGGTCGACAAAACTTCCGCCCATGCCCGACCTACGCTTCGAGCAGAGCTACCTTCACAGCATCTCCAAGGCCGATACCTGGGGGCGGGTAGCGTGGATTACCACGAGGGACCAAGTGCGTGATGTAACTGTACCAAGTCGTGCGCAACTGGAACTAATTTGGTGCAGGTCATGATGCCGCTGGTTCAGGGTGTCATCTACAACTTGTTCCTCATCGGCCGGCACCATTGGAACAGGAACGCACAGGTGCACGGTAGCTCAATAGGCGCCAAAGTACGGAGATGGTGGTACGGCGTAAACAACTGGCAACTGCCGCCGCCAAGGGGATCAAGCTGGAGGACGAAGAAGGAACTTTAAGGGACTAAGAGGCTAAATAAGGGCAACGAAGTATGGTTGGTGTGGTATCTGTACAGCTAAAACTCATGGCAGAAACGTCTCTGCAAACTACGTACCCCTTGGTACCGTCGCATCAACAGATGCGCAAATCAACCGTAGTACGGGTCATAGTACTGTCTATGGAAGGGCAAATGCTTCCAGAAATAAGTCATTTAATCGCCTTGGCGGTTCCCTTCATCTATCCGCATTTCGCCCGGAAAATTTTACCGTCCAACGCCAAAAGATTCGTCATAACCGATAGCCGAAAAGCCCCTAATCGCGCGAGCCCACATCCACCGGCTGTGGCAGTGAGTGCGGCTTGTCTGGGCTTCCTCTAAAAGCCAGAGAGGTCTGCACGGCTGCAGGACTGAGCGGCTGCTTGTTGGTTGCCACATTGATGACCGGCTCCGGCGTTCTTTCCTTGGGCTTAGCAATGATCTCGTCTGCCAGTTCGTCGTTATTCGCCATGGCCCTTTCATCCTCTGATGCAGGGGTTATCATAGCCATCTTTGTTGTAGTCGGTGACTTCTTGACCGAGAGCTTAACAATCAGGCTCTTCCGGGGTTCATCGGCCAAGTCATCATCTGCCATTTCCACATCCTCGTCAAGGTCCTCTTCGTCGTCCTCTTCAGTCTCATCCGGTACGTGGTCTTCTTCATCGTCACCCAAATCAGGCTCGCTGACGTCGTCGTCATCGTCGTCCATGGACTTGTTTCCGCGGGTACGACTGCCTTTGGCTGACCATCCATTTGTACCATGGTTAACTACAGCAGCTCGTCGGGGTCGGCCACCGGGACCAACAGCGGGCTCCGATTGCTGATGCGAATCCTCTGAGTCTCCGTTCACACTTCCAGCCGCACTACTCGCATTCAACCGGGGAGGAGCTCTGATCTGACGTCCGCTTGCTGTAGTCACCGGCCCAACAGGCTCCGCAGGTGTGCTTGTGCCTGTGTTGCGGGCTGAGCGCCGAGACGACGAGTCTGTGAAGTCCTCATCGTCGGAGTAAGTGTACTTGATCCGCTTGCCTCTCGTGCGGCCCTCATAGACAGAGAAACCAGGCTCGGGGCGCTTGAACCGGGCCTTTTGCGCTTGTCGATACTCTCTGCGTCGCCGTTTCTGTTGTCGTCAGTTATTGCTCAGAGCGAAAGCCAGCAAGCAAATATGACATACCTCCTCAGTCGCCTCAAACCGAGGAATAGCCTGCAGCATCTGGTCTGCGAGCTTTCTGGCCCTGGGACCACCATCCTTCGTCGACAATTTGTCTGCAAGGGCCTTGATCTCATCGATTGACCCAGCAACTGACCGCCAGGTCCGGTTGAAACCCGCTGGGTTGCTCTCGCGATAGACGCGGAAAGCAGTATCATCCAAGCCCTCAATTAGATAGTATCGTCTCTTATCGCTGTCTGATCCCCATGGCTGGACTGAGAGTGGCTGGTTGAGGTCATCATCGTGGCGATTCCCTTTGTAGGATTTGTTGATGATCGTCTTAACAGTTTCGGACGCCGAGAGGGACCACAGGGCCAGCGCGCGGAGGAGAGATAGCTTGAGCTGATAGTTAGTCCATGAAAATCCAAATGCGCAAGAGAAATTTTGAACGGTTCGGTGCTTACCCTCTGGGTGGGTGTAATACTGTGGAAAGTGTTGTTCCCCGAGAGCGGGTTGACGCCCCCCCATGACTTCGGCCACTGAGATTTGTGAGCGGACAGTGCATCGTCCAGAGCCTTTGAGTATTGGCCAGCTCTAGCAGATCGGTTAGCAACATGTGTAGGACTCATGCTCTGTGGCGCATCAACATACTTAACGTCCTGCTTGCGGTTGAGGAGCAAGAAGAGCAGCGCACAGAGAAAGGCTTCGACTCGTTCGCTAGGAGGATTGTCGATAATGCCGCGCTCGAGCTCTTGGGGTCCAAAGTTGGCTAGGGATTTCGGGAAGGCATCGTTGAATCGGCTCCGAAACATAACCAAAAACTAAAGGTACGTTAGCATATCCGATGACTTGAAGGACGCGAATCGACGCGTTTTTCTGCGCGAATTGACGCGACAATTCACATACAGCGATGTCTGGATTGTCTTCGAAGGTGTTCTCGTGCGGAGGTGAGGGCGAACGCTTGCGAGGTGGCGGTGAGGGCTCTTTGGCAGCAGTTGCGGTCTTCTTGCCTTTGGTGAGCTTGGGGAAGAACTTCAAGATGCCGTCGCCCTTTTTTGTCTCGAGCTCTGGCTCTGCATCGGATTCGATATCGGACGGCACGGGCGACAACGATGACAGCGAAGACAGGTCTGAAGAGTCGTCGTCTGCCATCTTGTAGGGTTTTTGGGGGCGGATTCGCGTTGATGGCTGCTGCGCGTGTGGTAGTGTCGAAATTGGATGGGTATCGTGGTAGGTGGAGGAAGTTTAGGCGCGTATGTTGAATTGAGGAAGTTTCGAACGCCCACCCACGGGACTAATTAAGTCACGTTTGAGCCGCAACTTCTTTGAGCCTGGTTCTCTGATAGGTCCGAGTCATTTCAAATCTACCTACAACCTTCTCTTTCTACCTAATCTGCCCTTCTTTCAACCTGCCGATGGATAACGCATTGCCGCATACCCGATGACCTTCCTAATGCCATGGCAGCAGCAGCATGCTTCCGGCCGCCCTATATTTGCTGCTTCTCATTGTGTTCTAGGGCGTCTTGTGGACCGTGAAGCACCAGCTTCTAGGTTGCCCTTGAGGATCTTGGAGAATCCATGCTGGCTGTACCCCACCTAACAGCTACCGTGGGATATCCCAGACAGACTGAACCTCACACTCAATATCACATCTCACCGACCGTGGACCAGAAAAGCACACCGGCCCATCAGAATGAGGGCATCGTCTGAGTTGTGGAAATGATGGTTTTATCGTCCACAAGTGCATTAACGGTCGTTCTTAGAACCCTGCGATATGGCTGCATTTGATTGTTGCGTGTACGTCGGACAACCACCGGTTCGTCATGTACCACGCACACCGGCTTTTCGAAGTTGATGCCATTCCCAAACCATCTGGTTGACAAAAAACTGTCCTTGTCCGCTGGGCCCGCTCGCTCCCGCTGGGAGCGCCAGTCCAGAGTTGACCTCACAACGGCAGCCGCCCCCAACCGTTCAAAACCGTACCAATTCAAAAGACGCAGCCTGCATGAATTAGTTGTTGCAATGATGGAGAGTTGGATCCCCACGTCGTATCAAGGGCGTTGGCTCGGCACTTGCGGAGCATACTCGTAAACCATGTACCCATCCGTTACTGTCTTGTTGATGGTCACATGACTGCACCACACCCAGCCTAGCCCGACGCCCGACGCAAACGAGGGCCAACGCAACTTGCGTCCCAGGACACCTTTCTCATCCCTCCATTGAATCCATCGTCGATCATGGTGGTTTGATGCAGCCTCCAACTTATATCCCGAAAAAGACGTCCAGAAAAAAGCGACATGCGGGTGGAACATAATGCACGCCTGAAAAGGACCCAAGCACTTCCAAAATGGCCATTGTAAATCGGCCAATCCATCGACAATGATGTATGTGCAGTGCTAGAAAGCCACACGCGTGTCCACCAGTGCTGCGGCGCCTCACTGAAGGCAAACGGACCACGGCGATCGCTTGCGGTAATACGTGCTGATCCCGCGTGCTCGGCTCTGCTTGGCCAGGATACAGCTGCATCCCCTCAAAAATGACCGCGTTAGGCGTGCGGTAAGAATCCACGGGTCGCCGGGCGCGCGATGAAGCTCTTGCCCCACGCCGGCGAAGATTCTGATGACGTTGGCCGCTGGACTACATCATGCCGCTTCGACCTCCAGGGTTCTGTTATCCTCACGGAACTTCCTTCAGCGGCTTCTAAAACATGCCAGCCCACAAAACTCATTTGATTTCGGTCAGACACAACTATCCTGACAGAACGTCAGAACATGCAGCCTTGAACAGAACGCAGCAGACAGTGAGAGAAATGCGGAGCCGAGTAGAATACGCACATGAGCTAGATCGAATCCATACTCTTTCCGTCTGCATCTACAGAATGACATAGTATGAGCGAGGAGGTACTGCAGTGCATGATGGCGCTGGGAACATCGTGGGCGTGGGCCGCTGGGGCCGGAACTAGACGTTTTGGACATGAGGGTTAAGTGCGGAGATCGTGACGCGGTGCAGGCGGTTCTCTGCCTCGAGGCTAGAATGGGACTGGCCAAACAGCAGAGACACTGTGGGGCTACACCGCTGCCAGTATTTTTCCCGTCCGAAAACTAGCTCCCTCGATGTGCCCCACCGAAATCATTCTGAAGGAAGTCGCTATGCACGTGACGGGCTCGGTTAATGGAACGAGCCAGTGTGGGGCCCAGGGCACACTTTCCCGGCCCACGACCTCCTTCTCTAGCAAAATTGTTTCGAGGTGACTTTTGAAATCCCCAACTCACCACCGACGACAACACCTAGCCCTCCGAACGCCAGAGGACAGCCAAGATGGGTCGCGTTGTAAGTAAATACTCTATTCAACACTCGATTTCATAACGAATTCGAAAACAACGGCGCATTTTCGACTTTACTGCCGGTCGCCGCGCCCGATATTGATCGATTTCGAAACCCACGAACATTTTTCTTCGCGATGGACTTGGGGCATATGGGACACAATGAGTGCTGACAATCTCTCTCCCAGATCCGTAACCAGAGAAGGGGCCGTGGCTCTATCTTCACGGCCAACACCCGCCTGAACAAGGTGAGATCCGATCCTATCGAACCCCCGCGACGCGACGACAGTTTGTTCCTAACGAAATTGTTGTGCAGGCCCCTGCGAAGTTCCGCAACCTCGACTATGCCGAGAGACACGGATACCTTCGTGGTATCGTGAAGGACATCATTCACGACCCCGGCCGTGGCGCTCCCCTTGCCCAGGTCGTCTTCCGCGACCCCTACAAGTTCAAGCAGCACACCGAGACCTTCATCGCCAATGAGGGCATGTACACCGGCCAGTTCATCTACGCCGGAAAGAAGGCCGCCCTGACCGTCGGCAACGTCTTGCCCCTCGGCTCCATGCCCGAGGGTACCGTCGTCTCCAACGTCGAGACCAAGATCGGTGACCGTGGCACCCTGGGCCGCACCTCCGGTAACTACATCACCATTATCGGCCACAACCCCGATGAGGGCAAGACCCGCATCAAGCTCCCCTCCGGCGCCAAGAAGGTCGTTCACTCCGAGTCCCGCGGCATGATCGGTATTGTTGCCGGCGGTGGCCGTACCGACAAGCCCCTCCTGAGTACGTTTTGGCCCCTAGTTGCGGATGGTTAAAGACTGCGAAAAGACGCAGTCAAGGAGAACAACAGCCCACTAACAGCCATCTGCAGAGGCTTCTCGCGCCAAGCACAAGTTCGCCGTCAAGCGTGGTGCCAACTGGCCCAGAACTCGTGGTGTTGCCATGAACCCCGTCGACCATCCCCACGGTGGTGGTAACCACCAGCATATTGGTAAGGCCTCGACCATCTCCCGCTACGCCGTCCAGGGACAAAAGGCCGGTCTTATTGCTGCGAGACGGACGGGTCTGCTTCGTGGTACCCAGAAGACGAAGGATTAAAGGTCAGCATAGTTTGGCTGGATTTCAGGGTTCCATTGGGATGGTGTTACGCGGCTGGCATCTTTTGAGGGTACTCGCGAGGGCAGTTCATCTGGTAGCTCGTCGGCAAGTACTAAAAGGCATTTTGCGCATTGAATGATCACGCCATGATTTCCTACCCCCGTTACGAGAGAGGGAAGAGGACTTCGACGTACGCCGACCAACTGTGATGAAGTGAGACGCTGGGGGCTTGCGTGTGGATGAACAAGAACAAAAAAAACGGGGTTTGGGACAGTTGAATCAGAGTGCGGAGGAGAGTGGCCTCTGGGATCTTTCCTCCTAAATCCAGCTACTATCGGCAGTAGTTGTGGGTTTCCTCTTTTCAATTGATCGATCGGAATTTTATCAATCAGTGGTCCCCGTTCCGTAACGGGGAATAGTGACTTGGCCAGTGGCATGATCTGATGGCGAGAATCATAGAAAAGGCAACTGACCGCCCGCCTCCTCGCTGGCTCGTTCCACGACAGCTTGGTATTTTTTCCGACCTCCAAACAACCCCAAAAGGGACGAGTTGATTGATGATTTGACTACCCTCGCCATCCTCTTGACGGATTCATCAACGGATTCTTCGCAATAATGTTTTCATACCTGAAAGTCACCGCCTCGAGGTGTCTCACCCAACGCTGCACGTCTACCAATTCACTCGGATCGGTAACGAGAAATTTCGCAACTCGCCGCCCCACTATCCTTACCCCTGTCCTCTCACCATTAGCATCGGCAGTCCAAGCTTCTGCTGCTGCCCACGTCCCTCCGCAGCAGAGTTCTCGCCCTGCCGCCGTCTCCGGTCCTGCTGCCACCGCCGCCCGTCGAGGTCAAGCACGTTTCTCCCATCACCCCACCTCATCGACCAGCAACCCCACCATCACCCCCCTCCCCCTCTCGTCCAAAACTGCCCGACGGAGCACCAAAATCAAAATATTTGAGAGCTCCCACAAACTCACCCTCTTCCACACTTCCCTCATTCACCCAAGAATTCCTCAATTAAACAAAATGGCGACCCAGGATTTCCGTCTTCTCTGTCTCGAGAACCCTCTGCTTGGTAAGGGCTCGCCCATTCCCCCATGGATGCATTGGTTTAAGCTTCGGCGATGCGCCGTGCAACCCTCCCAGCAAACCTACCCCTCCCTCACAGTGAAACCGAGCTTTCTCATTAACACCGCTATTCAGACATCCAAGCAGTCGGCGACGAGGCCCTCCTCCAAAAGTACGATCTCAAGCCCAACGACGCTATCCTCGCTGAGGAGAAGCACCTTGGCATCTATGAGGACCTCCTCAACAACTATGATGCTAAGCTCATCGCCGGCGGCGCCGCCCAGAACACGGCCCGTGGTGCCCAGTACATCCTTCCGCCCAACTCGGTAGTCTACATCGGCGGCGTCGGCGACGACAAGTACGCTGCCATTCTCCACGACGCTGTCAAGGCGGCCGGCCTCCGCGTCGAATACCGTGTCGACCCCAAGATCGCCACGGGCCGCTGCGGCGTTGTCATCACCGGCCACAACCGCTCCATGTGCACCGAACTCGGCGCCGCCAACCACTACGACCTTGAGCATCTGACTAGTCCCGACGTCTGGAAGCTCGTTGAGGGCGCCCAGGCCTATTACGTCGGCGGCTACCACTTCACCGTCTGCCCCCCCGCCATCCAGAAGCTCGCCGAGGAGGCCGCCAAGAACAACAAGATCTTCGCCGTGAGCCTGTCGGCCCCCTTCATCTGCCAGTTCTTCAAGGACCCCCTCGACGCCAGCGCTCCCTACTGGGACTACGTCATCGGTAACGAGACCGAGGCCGCCGCCTACGCCGAGGCCCACAACCTCGGCACCACCGACCTCAAGGAGATCGCCAAGCACCTCGCCAACCTGCCCAAGGAGAACAAGCAGCGCAAGCGCGTCGCTATCATCACCCAGGGCACCGATCCCACGTTGGTTGCCGTCCAGGGTGAGGACAACGTCAAGGAGTATCCCGTCAAGCCTATCGCCAAGGAGCAGATCAACGACACCAACGGAGCCGGCGATGCCTTTGCCGGTGGTCTGATGGCTGGCCTCGTCGACGGCAAGTCGCTCGATGAGTCCATCGACATGGGCCAGTGGCTCGCTAAGCTGAGCATCCAGGAGCTTGGTCCTTCGTAAGTTCCCCTCCATCCCCAGTCACTACATTCACCTGGCTTCAGGGTACCCGCTGCTGCTGGCGCTCTACATTAAATCGGCTTAGCACTGGGCTCTGTAGGTTTCTCTGCATCATTTGCTAACTGCGTCTTAGCTACCCCTTCCCCAAGCAGACCTATTCCTCTGCTTAGGCGGCGTGCCCTTAACCTAATGCCTCGAGCATTTCAGTTGCTTTGTTTAGGATAGTCTGGCGTTGAGGGGGGCAAAGGGAAAACGGTTTCAACAACGGCGTTGGCTCCTGAAGAGCCTTAAACGAGTGGCAATCGTACTTGCATCAACTTGCAATCTGGGCTGGACATCTTCCACGATGTGAGCCCTGGGTCATGAGATATCGGGTAAAACAATGAAGTGGTTTGGCCGAATCATAACCAGCCAAATGACAATCCCAGACCATCGTCCCTCCATCCTCCATGTGAAATCTGTGAAATCCGTTCAAAACAGTTATCGGGGCAAGGTATAAGCAATTAGGCGATCGATCGACCGACTTTCTTCTGTATACATGTCAGCAGACGTCCCGCTCATGGATTACTTTGAAGGGGGGGCGCTCACATCACAGTAGCAAATATGAAGCATTCAACTTCCAACCACGCCGCTGGGAAGGCAGGGAGAGCCACGTAGGCATTGAGCGAGGCTTGCCAGGAACGGATCCTGCTTTGGTGTAGGGTTCAACGACGTGTGTTCTGGCCCGAAGCGCGCTTTATCTCGTCGGCCATGGCTGACTGAAGAATCATGTCGTTGTATCCGGCTGTGTAGCCGTCAGTAGCGGCACCTCCGTTCTGTCTGACCATGTTCTTGTAGTGGGTAGGATCCTCCCGCATGTCGGCGATGGGACCTCTTCCGAAAGCCGTGGTCGCGGTATAGTTGATACCATTGCACGGAGTGCCCTGGTAGATGCCGCTTGCATTGGAAAACTGAGTTCCTGAAAGCGGTGAAAAGCTCTCCGTAGCGATATGATCCATGTTGGGGCTCTGGGAGAACTGAGGTTGAGAATTGCTCAACGAGCGGGCATGAGCAGACGACACTCTGGGCTGCAACGCGTTAGGGTTCAGTTCTGTGTGTGGGCTTCCCCACAAACCGTAACCTGCTCCTGAGGAGTCACGGCTCATGGATCTTGAGTCGGCCCGCTGCTTGCCAAATGCCTGCAGCAGGCGGTCTTGATGGGACGTGATATCAGGAGTACTGGCGAAGGGCCGCTGCTGTTGTCGAGACAGGTAATGGTTCTCGCGAGGATCCGCAAAGGGGTCATCAAACATGACATGGCTGGAGACCGAGACGTTTCTCTGTAGGTGGGCAGTGCCATCAAAGGACCGCCTAGCAGCTGCATCTCTAATGGCGCGGTCTGGCGGCGTCAGCTCCGAGTTCTTGCCCTGAGGCGTCGGGGTGTATATCATGTTCCACGGAAGGCTTGGGAACGTTTTGGCTGTGGCGGAACCGAGTGCAGGTGGGCTGTTGGTCGGAGGCGCAACAAATATCTCGTTGGCCATGGCTGAGTTCATTCCGTACGAAGTATCCTCGTGGCTCTCTGTGGGAGACACGTGAGCTTGAGGAGGCATCAGAAAGTCGTTGACCATATGAAGCATCTCAGCGTCGGAGCTCAGGTCGTATTCGGATTGGCCATGGACTCGATTGCGACCTGGAGTCGGATGCGACTGCACCTGCGGCGGTGCTGCATTGTGGGGTGCTCCGGGCGGTGCCCCGGACGGTGCCGCATTTGAAGGTGTATCTCTAACGCGACCGGAATGCCGAGACCGTTCGCGATGCGCAATAGAAACCTCGGCAGTTGCAATCTTATCGACAGGCCGTTCGCGATGCGCGATAGAAACCTCGGCAGTTGCAATCTTATCGACAGCTGGCCGAGGAGCGGCGGCGATGCTCGAAGGCTTTGGCTTATAGTCCTCCTCATACTTAAAGGTGAGCCCAGTCGGCGACGAGGTGTAGGTGAAAGGAAAATTCGTATCATTGTTGGCAAGGAAGAACCCGCACTTTATCGTGTCCAAGACCCTGGAAAAGGTCTCTTGAAGAGCGTCGAGCTTCAGACCGTTGTAGTGCTGGACTTGCGGCTTCAGGCTTCCGGTATCCTCGTCGTAGTTGAGGCGACAGCTCTGTGGCAGCTGTGGATCGCAGAGAGGAAGCATTCCTATAGCTTCCTGATCCTCGGCGAGCAGGTACGGGGCAAGTTTGAGATCCTCGTTGCCGTACATTTCGCAAAGGCCAGTCAGTGCTTTCGCAAAGCCTCTGTACATGTCCTTTACAAAGAGCTCAGGGGTATCTTGGGCACCCATGATCTCGGTGCGACAGGCCACCAGCCAGGCAGCGTACAGGCGAACGAATGGAAGAGTATTTTCTGTTAAAGCCGTAACTTTGTCCGCAGTGCCATCTTGTTCACCGGATGCCTGCTCTTCAATAAGCTTCTCCAGTTCCTTCTTGAGAAGCCGACAGAAGGTCATGAAGAAGCGGGCATTCAGACGCAGAACGAAGTGGGATGACCGCAAAGCAGCCTCGGTCCATTTGCCTGCGACGAGTCAATGAATAATTCTCAAATGCTGCAACTCTCACTCACTGCTGAGTTTCTTGTTAGAAGCGTAAAAGGCAGACATGTTGAGCAAGACCATCTTCAAGAGCATAGGCCAAGTGTTGGGGGCCTTGATGGCAATCTCCAGATGATTGATCACTTCCTTCTCGAGCTCCTGGTAGGATGAAAAGACCTCGCCCTTGTTGAAGTGAGAATGCAGACGAACGAACCAGGCTACAAAAGCCTCCTGGGTATCGGGAGGACCGGTGCGACGTGCCGGCGTGACAGGCCCCTGGAGGCTCTTCAGCTCAGCCTCAAGGTTCTGGGATGCCATTGGGTGGGGCTCTTCGATAGCCAGGGCGCGGTAGAAGTGGTATATGATATCCAAATGCTTCTTCTCATCCAGGAAGATGATGCCCATTTGGTGGTGAGCGAAGCCCGAGGTTGGGATAATGTCGTGGGCGAGGGAATAGTAGGTCAGGGCGGCCTCGTAGCTGGGGACCTTGTGGCGTGCCTGCATCCGATACCGAGAGAGGTCGCCCAAGTGAATCAGCGCCGAGTGAACGTACTTGAGGATGATTTGGCGGACGGCCGGCGTGGTATTGGCCATTGGGTTCTCCTCCGGCAGCTTCTCGGCCTTGATGCCCTCAGCGATGCGCTGAAGCTCGGGAATCGGGTAGACGGCAGACAAACGCTGGACGAATGCAATGTAGAATTTTTGCGCCGTCTTCAAGAAGCCGCTGTACATCCTATCGAGCTTGCGCTTCTGGACGGCGAGCTGTGACGATCTCAGACGGCCCAAGACCTTTCGATATTCGCTGTTGACGATGCTATGTGCTTGCCAGAGGTTCGAGTCGACCTTTTCGGTGGCGGAATACTCGAAATCGTGGAAAATGACGTGGAGGCAGGCGAGGCGTAGACTAGAAAAACGTCAGGAAGGTGTCGCAGACCGGCCGGAGATCGCATCGGATAACGTACGAGGAAATGACACTCTCCAAGGCCTCGAAATGCTTGAGGTCGTTGCCATCGGAGTCATTCTTGAGCTTCTCGACCTCCTTCTGTAGGTGCTTGCGAAGTTTCTGGGCTTGGCTAAAGTTGGAAGGGGTCAGCAACAGAGGGCGAGTGCCCGGGATCGCAACAATCCCGAGGAATCCAGACAAAGTGCGTAGGCCCAACCAGGCAAGAGACTTGGCGCCGGCACTAAAGCAAAGGAAGGAGAAAACTCACTGCCAGGCCTGCTTTGCAGCTTCGATATGGTCCGCCATCGTGGGTTACGACAGAGCCAGGCCCTGCAATCGACGATGGAGGCGGGGGTGGGTGGTGGTATGATGTTGCGATTATTTGCGCGATGGAGGGGGGTTGTGGAAGGTGCAGGACTCCAAAAATTCACAAAAGGAACAAAAAGAAGAAGAGCCTGAAGCTACGTGCTGTGCTCACACGCTCTCGAAAACAATCTCTGAGTGCGCGCGCAATCCATAACTTGGTAGTGGGCAAGCGCTTCGTGAACGGTGAGGTCGGGTCGAGGGCAAAGGCGACAATGGCGATGGGTGTGCTGGTGGTGGGATTGGGGCGGCGTTAACTCCAAGGCTTGTTGTGGTGGCACGTACTCGGGGTGATAAAGTCGGCGAGAAAAACATTGGGTGGAGGTTAAGAGGGAAGGAGCGGCAAGCAATGCGCCACCCAGAGCAGACATTCAAAAGGGAGGCAAACACTCAGACGACGGTGCAGGACGACAGTGGCAGACAGAGACGGCAAAAACAGCAGCGCAGCAGAGGAGGGAGAGGGGAGAAGGGGGGGGAAAGATGGTGATGTTAGGTCTCAATGAAGGGACGCGCGAACTTGGCTCAATGGGCGTTAAAGTTCCCTCCTACCCGCCTTGGGAAATCAGTTATTTTTTATGGGGCCCCTCAACAGCTGCCAATGTCTCTGGCCCGTGCCCTTGGGGATTAGGTACCTAGTCCCTTCGTTCGGCACCTCAACTCCCTAACTTCCAGGCTGTGCACAGCCTCTCCTGACCCTCCGTCAGTGAGCCTTGTGTCTTTGTTAGCTTTGTGAGGAGCCCCGGCCCCTTGCTCGCAGCAGCTGACGCTGATGAATGATGACTGGACCAACTGGTCTTCTGTGCTTCTGTCTTTGACCTGTCAATGCCCCACCACGCCCCGACCCTGGACTGCCCGCCGCCGCCCGACAAAACAGGCGATTTGATTCCATTATCGTCATTTGCCTTTGTCTTGTGGCTTGCCGACTTGCTCAGGCACCAAACAGCCATGCTTTGGAATATCTAGAACCACCACACCAAACCTTTCGTCACATCCCTGTTCCTGCCCATTCCTCGCAAACCCCGATCTCAGCAATCCAACTCAGCAACGTAGCTTGGGGGATTCCGTGGTGACCTGCAAGTAATAAACCCCCGCTGCTTGGCCAACCTCACTGAAGATGAAACGCTCACGAGAGGCCGAAGAGGAACAGCCCTTCTCTGGCTATCCGGCAGACGAGTATAGCAGTCCAGGGACGCCCGAGGCAGATGACCGCCTTGCCAAGTTTACAGAACTGGACCCTTCGGCCGAAACAGCACTCGAGGACTTTGCGATGAAATGCTCTATGCCACCTCACAGAGAGGCCCTCACTTTCCAATCGTACGACGAGTATGAAGCGCATTACGTGAAGACGCACACCAATAGATGCCTTGAATGCGGGAGGAACCTGCCATCGGAGCACCTGCTCAGTGTACATCACGAGGAATGCCATGATTCATTCGCCGCTGTTAGACGGGAAAGAGGGGAGCACACAGTACGATCACGGTCCCCTTACCGCTGAGATTAGGACGTCACTGATGTTGCCCGCAGTATTCCTGTTTTGTCGAGGGCTGCGAGAGGAAGTGTATGACGCCGCAGAAGCGTCGGATGCATCTTATCGACAAACACGGTTTCCCGAAAAATTACTTTTTCGCGGTGACCAAGGAGGGCATCGATGGGCGACGGTCGTTGCTTGTCGAAGGCGGCCATCATCGGCGCAAGTCATCCAGCGCCTTCGGTACGACTAAGGAGTCGAAGCGCAGATCAGGCATCCTAGAGTCGTCCGCACCGCAAACCAAAGAATCACAAGCACCAGGCAAGATATCGACGGAACCAACACCCACCGACTCGGTGACAACAGAGCGTACAGACACGGAAATGGACGACCTCGCCGGCGCCATGTCAGCACTGCAGTTTGTCCCAAACAGCGTGCGCTTTGGAAGGGGCGGTGGGCGGGCAGGGTTTGCAAAACGCTAAGACGGCCCCTGTCAAACGATGAAAACGTCACGATGCATGGTACTACTTCGATTAGCGTTCAGGCAATGATGATACCAAAACGGTCAATTGAAAGGATCGCTACCTCTTTGCGGCAAAGTCATGACCCGAGTGATCGTACCCTGGGTCTGAATCATCCCCCCCATACCAAGCGCCAAACGCCAGTCCTCCGCGGCTGAAAGCCTCGCGGAGATGATTTTTCCCTCAATAAAATGCTGTGAGCAGCCGCGTATGAGCCTCTAGTCGCTAGAAGCGCAGCCGTGGCAGCCACAGTTGACGCATTGGACCTCCTGGTCTTCCTTAAGCTGGGCTTTCGGGACACGGCATATACACGTTGAGTTGAAGTTGGTCTCCTTGGTCTGGACGCAGCGCAAGCAGCAGAGCTTTCGTGGCCGTTAGCATCAGTTCATTAAAAGGTGATGTGGCGGGCCATGTTCGTACCTTCTCGTAGCCTTGCTTCTTCCACTTGGCGATCAGCATGGCATCAGCGTACCCGTTTTTCAACAGCCACTCGTACAGCTGCTTGCTGATGGCCTCCTTCTCGTAGTACAGGTCGTAGATGTATCTGCTCCGCGTGTGCGCGATTTGAAAGATCTCCCACTGCGCCTGGTGCTTCGGCCCCGTCGGCGGCGGCTTGTTCTGGGCGTCCTTCATTTTGTTCTGGAAGATTAGGAGCTGGTCCTCGATGTCGCTGAAGCCTTCTGGGGGCGGCTTGCGCTTCGATGATCGCATAGGAGGCATTTTGAATGGTTAACTTTCGTGAACCTACGGTCAAAAGAAACCTTCGTAGTGGCTTGGAGTATACGAGAGATTCTTCGAGGTTCGGTCGCGCCGCAGTCGTATGCTGAGTGACGAAGGCGTTGATGTTCGAAGACCAAGAATGTAGTGGGGCAAAAGGTTCCGATAATCACTTATCGAACACGCCTCACCTACCCATTTGCGCGCTAGGGGCGGCTACGCTAGCGCAAAGTGCTCGCGTCCGCTGACTAAGGAAACACACGTGATTGGGCGGCTCTTCCCCAACACTGGATTGGGGAGCTTGACCAAGATTCCCGACGACGAACTGAACGGCCGCCGGCAATCACGCAGCAGCAACCCGCTCCCCCTCCTTCAGCAGCACCCCCGCGCTCACCATGGCCATCACACCGACCCAATTCGCGAAGACGACCAGGCAGTGTGAGTGCCGCGTCCCAATTGAGCCCCGAGGCCCTCCACTGATCCCTTGAGCAGCGGCCAACTGGAACGACGCAAAGCGCCGGGTTCTCTCCTCGTACAGAGAATGGATCCGAGCTGTATGTTTCCCCTTTCGGTTCTTTTCGGTTGCTTTCCGATCGCCTGTCGGCGGGCGATGCGATTGACGAACCGACAGGTTCTCAACTGAGCTGAGGAGACCACGGGCACCATGCTAATCAGGTGATGCGATACCAGGCGCCCGAGATCCAGACAATGTATAACGTCCCCCTGCCCGTATCCGTTCTTCGCACCCGGATACGTGAGGAGTTCGAGCGCCACAGGTTCGCGAAAAAGCTGCCCGTTGTGGATGTCCTTCTCTTCAAGAGTCACGCCGAATACCAGGTATGGAACCGACCGCCCTTGCCCAGCGTAGGGTAGACGAACGGGAGGGGAGAGAAAGAGGACTTGGATTGGGTCAAGATATAGGGCGGCAAGAAAACCGAGCGAGGGCTGACGTTTGACATGCGATTGTAGGAGACAATGAACTTCTGGAAGCAGACCACGCACATCATGTCCTACTTCAAGGAAGAGAACTTCAGAGGAGACAAGCGGTTGCCCAACAACTTCATGACCGGGTTCTTGGAGGTAAGTCGCGAGGGCGTGAAAACGGTCACAAGGGGCAAGAGCTCTGCTTCGGAGAGACGAAGAATGGCGGACGGGGCTGAAAGCGCCAGGCTAACTTGGTTCTTGACTCACATGCTAACCAAACGTCTAGGGCCGCAACTAAGAGCGCTGAATGGAATTAGAGCTCGTGTACATAACATACAACAGTTTCAAAAACAAAAACACTTCCCGCAAAGCAGCACGATAACTCCAATTGGGTTCTCTGTCTCTCTGTCTCTTTTCTCTATGCCATTGATGATCCCTAAACGCCTATTATTCTTGACATGTCAAAGGAATGAAACAAAAAGACCCGCTACGAGCGGCCAAACTCCTCCTTGGCGCGGATGAACTCCTCGGCGACGGTGTCGCTGAGGGCCTGCAAGTCCTTGAGACCCTTTTGCAGAGCCGAGACTGCGGTGCCATCTGGGACGGAGGTCAGCATGGGTCTAGGGACGTTCCGGAAATGAAGGTGATAACATGATGTAGGGAGAGTGACAGTGAGGGTGAGGGTGAGGGTGGGGAATGCTCACCGTATGTCTGGATTCTAATGTTCATCTTGGCCTCGGAGGGGTGAGGGATGGCGTAGGCGCAGAACTCCACGTCGGGGCTGGCGGCAGTGTTAGTCCGTGTTAGGGAAAAGACTCCAAAAGACTACTGGTTGCTGCTAATAATAACGGGAGGCGGCAACGTACTTCTTCATGATGATATATCTCAGCGCGTTGCCAAGCGTGTGGCCCTCGTCGATGAACTCGAACGAGGCGGCTGTGTCCGTCGAGCCAGGCAGCTGTTGGAACGGTCAGTTCCCATCCCACCTGACATGATAAAGGCCCCCCCCTCCTCTTTCAGGGAGATAGATGTTGGAACAAGTAGAAGACTCACAATCTTGACGCGCTGGGGCTCCTCCTCTTCCTCTTCCTCCTCCTGCTCGGGCGACCCCTCCTGCGCCTCGGCCTCCTCCTCCTCGGGCTGGTGAGACGTGGGCGCCTCGTCCATGGGGACGTCTTCCGAGGTGGTTCTGCCGGGCATCTCTGCAACTGTGCGAATGGTTGCTTTTACGGAAGGGTATATGTCTCTTTTTGTTTGCTATTCAACTGAAACGACAAGGGTTCTGTGCAGTGCGATTGGGATTTCCTTCTTCAGTTTTGACCGCCGGTGGAGGGGGGTTAATTTGGCTCTCACCTTCACCTCTCAAGCCTAAAAAAAATAAGAGGTCCGTTGACTTGTATCGAAATTTTTTGATAACGGCTCCGCGGATCGAAATTGATAAGCTGCCACTTGGCGCAGCCACAGGTGCTGGTGGGCTCCACTCGGTGCCAGCCGGTCACCATCGCATCGGTGTATTACCTAAGCACGAGCTTTCCTCCCAACGCGTCACATCGTCGCCGCGGCACCTAAGCGCCACAACTGACAAATGGTGGGAAAACCACCTCGCATTCAAGGACATGAAGTACGTCGCCCGGCAGTTGCATTCGCGTGCACAAGCCTCGAGCCCATGCGACGGGGGGCGGAAAAAGACAAGAAAGCCAGGCATTTTTCTCTGGTGTCCTTCAGGTTTGCACATGCCAAGAGGAAAGCTCAGCGTCAAACTAGCTTTCGCCGGTTGCGACTCATCCACCAAACCGCTCACAATGTGGCTGCTTGGTGGGCTTTTTTGTCCTTGAAGGGGGGGGAGGACAAACACGGTGCGTGGCGCGCGGCAAGATGCATTCGACAGGCGAACAAGCGACACCTGCAGCAAGGGGATGACAGCTAACTGGTCGGCTACAACGAATGGGACGCCCTCGAAAAAGATGTTGCCCCCCCCTTCTCTCTTTCTTGAGAGCAAAACCGCTGGGTCTGGTCTGTCTGTGTGGTATGGTGGCGCGCTGCTTAATTCCCCTCGAGCTTGGGATCGTCGATCAAAGAGCATCCATCACCTTTGCATTTGTCGGTAGCCTATCCTGAACCGCGTCTCCGCTTAGCGTGTAGAGACTATTGAACCGAACAAAGTCTGCCTCCGTCTCAGTCACGAGTCGCAAGCAGCGAGACAGTCGGTATCTAAGGAGTGAAAAAGGGCCGCGACAAGTAAGCAAGTCATTGCCGTTCTCCGACGAGACATCTTTAAACCACCCTCTATTCTGAACATGGCTGCCGCCTACGGGGCGGTTTTTTTTTTTTTTTTTTAAATTTTTAAATTTTTTTTTAATCCGATTGTTGGTTTCCGGGCCGTCGACGTCTCGGGCGAGTGGCAGGACCCTAACCGCATGCATCGTCCACGGGCCATATGACTCCCGCATGGGCGCTGAGGACCTTGGATGTCTGCCCTACTACGTAAGCCCGCATACACCTAGGGGAGGCACGCGGAGGTTGACGACGGGATTAAACGTATTGTAACACACGCATCGAACATCACGAGCCCCGGAAACCCCTACTACAACACAAGCAGGGGGCATGATGAAGAGGACGGGACAGAAACGCCTGACGGTGGCCCTAGGGCCCTAGAGTTAAGCCAAAGCGCAATGCAGAGAAGGCCCCCTTCTTTGCCAGGCCGAGCAAAGCCCCCGTCTCGGTTTCTCCCCCGCCCGGTCAGACGACCTGGGTTCGGATTGTATTGTTGGCTTGCCAGGCTGCTGCCCACCCGAACTTCACACTTTTCGTGATCGACCAGCGCTGTCACATCGGAAACAAGTTTTGATTGGCCGGCGACCGCCCATCTCGTTTCAAGACAAGGCAGGTCCGTCAATGTCATTGGTTCGTTTGTTCTGTCCTCAAACCGGAGCCCAGTAAGTGGGTTTGGCCGCCAGGGATGGTGATGAGGAGAGTAATCATCCTGGCCAACCAGGAGACGGCACCGCACCTAGTCGCATGGGCTGACGGATCGGTTTGTAGGATGATGAGCAAGAATTGATGGTGAATCGTCTGTGGGCTCCCCTAGTCCTTCCGAAGAGATGGGATGGAGGCGGGAGAAACAAGGAAGGGGGAGGAGGGAGGTTTACATGTAGAGTGTTGTACCGAGGAAGGAGACGTCTCGACAAATGAAGCGAGCCACCAGTGTAGGTAGTCACAAGCCGAACAACGGCGTTGCCTTTCGTTCTCATGCTGCCGCGGTACGGTCATAACGAGGATGAGGATGTGGTTTATCCAGCGGTACCAAGAAACAGTTGCGGAAAAAAAGGTTGGTAGTCCCGAAAACAATGAGGAGGAAAAATTTGGGGGGATGTAACATCAACGACGAACCTGGAACTGTGGTGGAGATCTCGGGGACGGTGTGTCAATAGAGAAGATGGAAGGGGTGGATTGCATAGTCGCAGAACAGAACAGACGAAGGTCGATATTGGGCTGAAGGCAGCCATCCCCAAAGCCAGTGGATTAGTAGGAGTCGAGTGCTGTGGTTGTACGACATTTTTCGTCCATGAGTTTATCAACCTGCGAGCCAAGCATGGACGCATGACGGGAAAGGGAGATTTGACACTCGGCGGGAGGTGGCGCTGCCATCGGTGACGACGACGACGACGTGGAGAAGGTTGGAACTCTCCGACTCGTATTCTCCTATCTTCGCTCATCAACTTCATGCTCATGGTACGTGCGCGTGTGCCACATCTCAACTCAGCCTCTGGATCGAGGTACACACGAGGGGCTGGTGACACATGTGGGTTTGCGGCTTACATATGGTACCTAGTGTAGTGTAGTAACGGTCTTGGGATATGGGCGGGATCGTCAGGGACGTTTGAACATGGGTGTTCCCCCCTGCTCTGCCTTGCCTACAGTAGCTGAAGCTGGAGTTGAATTCTGACGTGCGGAGAAAACGAGTGAAAGTGACGTTGCTGTGCCCGTTACCTATGTGTACGCATGCCAATCTCAATCCCGCCAGCTCGGCCTTCAGGAGGCTCAGGTGAGGTTCAATTGCTAGATTATTATGTTTCGGCGATGGCCAGTCGCCCTCCGAGTGGCTACTGATCATCGTCAATGGTTATCATACATAGGTACATAGTTGGTAGGCCGTGGGTGCACGGATGAGGTAAGACACAACTGAACACGCCATCTGAATACGAAGGCAATTTGGTCTCGCACACACAAGCACGACTAGCAGCGCGGCAACGAGAAGCAATCAGAGTCGAGGGACTGACTTTGCTTTCTGGTTAGTGGGAACACCGCCTTTGGGCCCGACAAGACGGGACCATATTGTTGGCTGCCCTGCTGGAGCCATTGATGGGCTGATGGGGCGGCGGCCTGTCTTGTGCAGATTCATCCATGTGGGGTCGCTAGGTCCCTCAGAAGTGACCAGGGTGGGTGACGGAGGGTAGGTAGAGGCACTATATTTTGGCCAGTGATAGTCTCGTTTGGAGTTTGGTCAAAATATCCCGAGCCTATCGTGGCAAATTTCAGGCGTTGCTGTTCGGTTGGCGATGAATCAACTTGATCATTTGGAGTCTGCAGTCATGGGGCGCCGGCCCGCGTGTTTTCAGGGAACATTGTAGGCCGCAATTCTCGTTAATCAAGAATCGAAAGCACCATCGCCCCTATGGTTCCCAAGCGTTATCTGGTGAAGTCCTTCGGCTCGAGTTTCTGACAGTGAGACAAGGTGTTGCCGTTGCGATTCGCACAGGCTTATACAACTAAGGTGTTTGTTTTCGCAGTCCAGATACTACAAGTGGGCTAGTCATTTTTAGTCTTGCCCGCCTAACCAAGGTGTTACCTGCGCCAGCGCCGCCTGTTCGGGTTCTCTCTTGGGGGCCGTATTGCCCTGCATGCCCGCCTGATAGCAGACGAGTGCCATGCATCGACGCCTGGACTAGTTTGGCCCGCAGACGGTTTGCGGCGCTGGCATACGACGACGGCGAGCAGCTGGGTTAATATCACGACGGCAACTATTAGGAGATAGGAAATGACCGGCAGCAGGTGTGTGAGAGCACAGGCACAGACATCAAGCGTAGGCACAGGCCATCCGGGCTGGCCGCCTCTTAGGGCTTGCAAGGGTCTGGTGACATGTCGAAAGCCTTCGCGATGACGCTTCAGAGTGCTTTACATTCTGCGACAGCGGCATGCCGACAATAAAGTGGCTGATGGCCGCCCCGTGGAGCTCCCACATCGTTTGGCCCACTGAAGCGTACCATGCAGGACGTCTCAGCGGTGGGAAAGGCACACAATCCGTACAGCATGGGATGAGACGGCGGTGAAAGCAACGGGCGTTTCTATGCATTGCGATGTGCCTGTGTGTTGTGGCGGTTGAAACAACCGAGTCCCGGTTCTGGCTGCTCGGCTGGGCCTGTCACCCAGGACAGACGAGCTGGGGGCGGAGTCGCAAGCGCAACGACATAGGCAATGGTGGGCAAAGATACGTGGTACGTCCGTTTGTACGTACGTTCAATGGGGGGGGGGGGGGGGGACGGCCCGAAAGTGGGATACTACTGGTGGTCGTGATCTACGTCAATCGTTTCTACTGGTTGTTGCGTGTCAAGCTGCGCGTCCCTCGGCTGGGAAGGAAGAAGCACGGCGAAGCCACGGACGGCGATGTGAGGCAGAAGAGTCATCGAGGTCGGGTTTCGGAGGTCTTGGCCGGCCGAGAGAGAGAGAGAAAGAGGTCCGATTAATAGGGCCTCTGCTCATAGGTAATGTGCGGCAAAGTCAACCGAGACAGACACACCAACACCAAGGCAAAGCCAGGAATCAGCGTTGTTCGCAGAGAGAGTTGGGGGCCCCGCCGTTGATGTTTCCGTCTGGTCTTTTTTTGTTCTCGACAATGTGCGTGCCCGCTGCGCGTTGGAGATGAAAAGATGGTGTGGTGTGCCCTGGCGTGGTCGCGAAGCAGGGCAGAGACGAGTAGGCAAAGGTGAAGGAGTAAATTCGCGATTCTGTGCGGCAGACCTGGGGTGCGGTATTGTTTCGCAGCAGGTCCATGGTGCCAATCTGCGTCAAGCTTAGGTAGGTAGTTTATGTCAATCCTGACAATCTCTGATGCCTGGCCAAGGATATCCGAGGGAAAAGGAGGGTGGCAGCAGGATTGGTCGGTATTGAACCCAATCAGAAACAATAGTCTGGTCTTTCTGCTGCAGCCCCCGTGCGCCAGTCGTCACGGCCTTGCCTTGCCAGCATGCAGTTGAGTTGTCGGAAGGTATCCGTACCTGAGTAGGTATGCAATTGGTACGCCCAAAAGCGTAGCTACTCCCACTCACCCGCCAGGGTACCTTACCTAGGTAGCCAGCTACCCATCGCTACTACTCCGTCCCTACGTGCCTACCTTGGTAATGTACCAAAGATAGGCACGACGCACACCGTCTCTCTCTCTCTCTCTCCCTCCTTCCCTCTCCCCCCGACTTCGTCCTTGCTGCGTACCGTACTAATCATGCAAGGCACGTCAGGCACGCTGGCAAAGGTACCTCGCCTTAGCTTTCTCGCGGCATGGCATGGCACGGCATGGCATGGCACGGCACGGCGGCTTCAAGCTCTAGGTAGGTAGCTCAGCCCAGAGCCCATCCGTCCTTCTTTTCGCGGGGTCCGGCTACAACTACTATCTAGGTATGTACACTATGCCATCGGGTGGTCACGCCATCTCGCGCATGAGCTTGATGATCGATCTGAGGTGTTTAACTGGTGTCTGCTATTAGGAGTAGTATCCGTTTCTGGCTGAGATGGATGATTGATCGGCCAGTGCCCCCAGTCCCAGTTCCTGTCATCCCGTCGTGCTGCTTTCCCGAATAGGAAGTGTGGGCTGTGTGGGAGTCCGGGCCAGCCTCCAGGGTACCAGACCACGAGAGACGGGAATGCGCGAGAATATGTGAGAGAGTCTACTACAGTACTCGGTAGTAGTGTACCTATCCGGATGGATACCAAGTATGAGGTACGAATTCCTGGAGAGGAGACCCCACCCGCCTGGGAGGGGGTGGGCCATCATCACATCAATGTAAAACAAGCCTACCTACCGAGGTTGGGCGGCGCCCCCGTCCACCGTACATATCCTCCACCCCTTGATACCGACCTACCCAAACTATCTATCTCACATACCTACATTAGTGTTTCCAGTGATTAGGTGTCCGTAGGTGGCAGGTATCTACCTGCTTCAACCTCGGAATTCTTGGTTCGAATCTACTACGTAGTAGTAGGTAGTTTAGGTGCGAGTCCTGGGTTGAGTTGCCCACAGCAAGGCAGCAATCGCCATGACACTCTCCACCACTGTTGCTACACGAACCAACCAACAACTGGAGTACGAGAAGCCGACGATTCTAATCGAGCTTTCTCAAGCACCCAGACCCAATGCCGTCACCCAACTGGTGTTGCTGTTGCGCCTGACACTCGGTAGTGCTTCACCAGGCGGAGGTGGGCTGGGCGGAAAGAGTCAAATCCAAAGAGAAACAGACGAGTCTGCCATCCAATCAATCTCGACCTCTGCATAACAACTGACCGACTAGATTCCGAGCTGGTCTACCTAGAAGCCTAGACTGCACCACCACCACCACCATGACGAACACCATCCGCGGTTGGTCGTGATGATTTGTATGGCTTAGATGGAACGGTCGATGCTGAGGGTCGAATCGCTGGATGGCTGCCCTGCACCTACCTAATTAGCTGTCTGCAACTACAGCTGCAATCATTCCGTCCGCAAATGGCGTGTACGAATATTCCATCCTGTAAACACACGCCTCCCCTCCTTCGACTACCTACCTCTTCTCCCTCACACAACAACCGTGAATCGCACTTCCTTCTCCTTCTGTGCACCAGCTGCTCGCCAAAGATTATCAACATAGGCAGGCACCTTGCAGTTGCTGACTGCCATGGGACTGGCTGGCTACGTACGGAGTAGCCGTACTGACGGCGAGGTAAATTAGATTACAGCAGTATTATTGTGCAGTAAAACACGTCGAGTAAAATGGGTCGAGTGTGTCGGCGGAGCCATGATTGTGTCACACCCGGTATCCCCCTTTCATGACAGAATAAAACAATCCATACATAACTGCCCCTCCGAGCTTCTCCCCTTCCCCCCATCCCCATCTCCATGATCCATCCTTCCACTTTGAGCATGTGCGTGTGCGCCCGTGTGTGTCCAAGGGCCCTGGTCGGTTCTTGATCTTCTCCATCCAAGTCTCATCCCGTCGTGTCGCAGCCTTTTTTCCATGGCTACCTAGACACGCTTGTCACTGGATTGTCACCACACCCCTTCTCCCGCACATCGCACCCCCCTCGTTCCCTACTACTACAGAGTAGTGTGTGTATACTTGCTTGCGGCCCGGACTGGCCTGAACTGGACTTGAGACTTGGGATACGACCCTTTAAACACCACCCCCCCTCCATCCTCCTTCAACTTTTGTTTTGTAACCTCGTCTCGTCCGGCGCTCGCTACCTATCTTTCTAACCTTCTTCGCCTTCCCCTACCCTGCTCTTCTTCAACTACTTCTCTCGCGCACCCCCCACCACTTCCCAGCTTCTCAAACCCTTCCGCGCCCGACCTTTTCTTACCCCGACGTCGCAGACGAAGTCTCTCGCTTCCTTTTATTTATTTTTTTCCTCCTTCGCCCAGACCAAAAAAAAAAACACCAACAACTCCAGTCTCCCGTTGATTTGTCTTCACGACCCAACGGAAACCAACAAGACGGCCCCTCTCGCAGTCTCGCTCTGACCCGCGTCGCTTAATAAAGGATATATACGTATCAACCCTCTCAAAAAAAAAAGAAAAAAAAAGGACCACCGACTTTGCCTGGCCGGAGAGATATATTTCACTCGCGAAAAAGAATCGATTCAAATCTCGGAGAGAAAAGAGCCTGACTGGGTTGATCTGCCTCCCCCTCCCTTGTCCTTGGCACTACCTGACACACGAGCCGACTTGACGAACCCTCCCCCCATTGTCTTTGTCAATCGGTCAAATTCACGCCCACAACCTGCCCCAAGCACCACTAATTTTTTTACCACCCACGATTGGCACTGCACAGCACACACTCCAGTCCCCGACTTGCCCCAGCACGTAACAGCAGCAGCAACTTCTCACTTTATTTTCTCCATCGACTACTCATCTTTCTTGTTTCTCGGCCGTCATTACTACATCAGTCGGACCGTTGTTACACAAGACGATATCCGCAGGACCAACCAATCTGCGTCTGCGCTCCGACTTTTTCTTACGGCCAACAATCGCACTGCTATTGCCGCCCACCGTCACCCGGCGTATCCACTACCTGGAAGGCTAATTCCTCTCGACCAGCCCGCTCTCGGCCATTTTCGTCGTCGAGCTCAAAGCGCAGGCTTCAAGCGTCTTTCCCAACGACCATCGCGCGTTTAAAAAGGGAAGACCAAGGACAAAGAGTTCCAAACCAGGCCTAGCCACCAAACAGTCGAATAAAAGTCGAGTCCTCAGCACAGGCAGTAGCCCTCGACACGACGAGTCGCGCACCTCGCCCATTCCGCATCTCCTCCACCCTCGACCCATTAAAAATTGGAGCATCCAGCAAGGGAGAATCGCGCATCTCAATCACCCATCCATTTGACAATATCGTCAGGTCGTATTCTGTGTTCCAATCTGCGACCGGCTCCTCCTTTCCCTCACACATTCGCCCGCTACAATCTAGCGACACGAGGCACCTTTTTTTTTTTTTTTTTTGCATCTCAAAAGGGCAAACAGGTGGCACGGGTGCTGCACAAGCAAACCCGCCTCGGACGGAGTTTCCCCTCTTCATCCTTTCCACCCATACCAGACAGCACAGCAACTATGAGCACAGCGATCGCAATGGCTCCTTCTCCCGCTCCTCACGACAGACCGTCGTTCTCTACTGATCACGCCCCTGCGTCTTCGACTCAGCACGCGACTTCCTCGCCCTCCCAACAAAGAACTCTCGCTCCCACTGGAACCCCCAATGCGACGGCACATCGTTCAAGCAGCGGCAGCCCCAGAGGCGCTGCTCAAGCCCCCAAATCATCCCCCCCTAGCGCGTAGGTTACATCATTCATGAGCATGCCTGACTTCTCGGCGCCAGTCGGCTAACATATGCTCTGATCTAGTTCCCGAAACGTCAACGGTGCCCCGAAGATTGTCGTGAAGAAGGAGCCCAACTCCCCCGATCTTCCGACCACTCGACACAGGCCACGCAAATTGGACCTGTCCAACAAGGGTGCTCATCCGGGCTCCAACACTCCCGGCACCGCCAGGCCCATGACCGCTCGGGAGAACCTGGGCATACAGGAAGTCGGTCTGGCATGTCTGTCGCCTGGCTTTGTGACCCAAGACCCCGTCATGAAGGAGCAGCTGCAACGCAGCATGAGCGTGCGAGACCAGCAACGCATGATCATCGAACAGAGAATGCAGCAGCAGTCGGCAAAGGGCGACGGTCCCGACACCTCTGGCAAGGACCCTGTGTCGCAATTTGCTGCCAAGACCCCCGGGTTGTCTCGCAGGAATAAGGCTCAGCTTTCCATTCTGCCGCCCTCGGCCGAATCCTTTGCCAATGAGCGCGTCATCCAGTCTGCTCCCTTGGGTCACTCCTTTACTGGCCGTCAACACCCTGCACCTCTGACCCGCCACATTGCAAACCAGCCGAACACGCTGTCCAACACTTCTCACATTCACCACGTTCCCGCCAATCAGACCAACAACCGTCTGCCTCCCATCAGCGATGTCTTCGGCCAGGTCTCTAGCCATCCCGAGAACGCCCCCAACTCACTGTACCCTCAAAACAGTTCGCGCCCCCCGGCGACGTCGCCCGGCCATGCTCCTCAGACGCATCAAGGCCCTCCGGCCTCCGGGCGTGCGCGGGAGTACAAGTCCGCCGAAGAGGCGCAACACGAGATTGCTGGAGGTCGCCCCGAACTCCTCCCCAAGATCGTGCACTACGGAAACACTCACCAACCCCCTACGCCGCCCTCTCCCGCCCCGGGAAGCAGACTCGCCGATCCCAGTCGCAGTGCCAGCCGGCGTCGCACCCGTGCCGAGTACGAGGACGGGAGCCCACCCTTGGGCCACGGACCCGCTCCTCAAAGGAGAGGACCGTTCGGCGCCGGTCGGGATAGCCCCGAGAGCCAGAGGGCAAAGCGCGATGAGTTCCTCAAGCTCTGCGAGAGGGCCTGGGACCTGTTCCACTCTTAAAGGTCTCGTTTCCGCGTGTCCGACTCTTCCATCTGGGAAAGACACCAATGTGTACTTCTCGGTTTCAACTACTTGCGGGATTCAATCCTGCCCTTTTGTCGACTCGATCTCGAATACGTTGCATGGGTTCGGGGCGCTCTGGTTTGCGTTCTGTGCTCTTCCTTGATCGCCTCACACCGGTGACAGAAATATATCGGCATGAGAGGCACTGGGTCAGGGAATAATGTCTGTAACTGTCGAGAGATGCTTTGCGCACCGCGGCACGTCCATTGAATGAATTAAACCGATCATCGCGGGATCCAGTTTCCTCGCTCGGGGGCAGCCATGGACGGTTTATGCTTATAGCCGGGTGGCGGGCACGAGGCGGTCGACGCTATTGGCTCATGGGGACTCCTTCTATTTCAATGAAGGGTTTTATCATTTCGCGGAGGAAAACATTCTCCCCTTGAAGAGGGACAAGACTTGCGCCATGGGGGCGTTTATTTGCTTTGTTATTCTTGGTCTTCTTGGGTGTTTATGGGAAAATGATAGGTTGGCACGAGACTCATGAGCAGAGATGTAGAATTCTTTGCATGTATTATCTTGGGGTCGTCTGCAAACGGGAGAAGGAAGGCGGCCGAGGATCACGGTCCTCTCAGTCGCGTGTCTCTTTTGTGGGGTTTTTTTTTTTTGTCTTTTTTCGCACTCATGGTGCCTGCCAACCTGTGCGTGCTACTTTATTATCTTGGGCCATTCATGTATATCGGAGCAACGGATACTGAAGATTTGGCACGCAAATACAAGAAGAAGCCTGCGGGTTTCTCTACAGGACACAACGTGATCTCTCCTTGCCATGTGTCTATGACGGGATATGCGGTCACAGCAAATGGCCATGAACGGTGCATCACAACGACGGGAGGCTCTGCAAGGCTTCCTTCCAGGTATACGGATAATAACGAACCGCTACCGAGTCCGCCTACCATTTGCTTAGAATGATGGGTGCTAGTGCAACAGGAGTGTGAACGAGAGGACGAACATGAGGATGGTGGCGTTGAGGACATGGGCAGTGGAAAGGCATCACAGAGGCACGACCCTGGGTTGCTAGCGGCCTGTTCCTTAACACGAGTAGGGGAAAACAGAAGTGAACTCCCCAACTTGACGGGGGAAATGATGTGGAAGGGGGGATGGACCCCCGTCATACCCCTGCAGGCCATGTGCCCGCGGGGATGTAATCGCGGTTCGAGGTACGTATGAAGCGACTCCCCGGCCTGTTGCCCGTTGTCTTGGATCCGCCGGGCCCGCCCCCACCAGAAGGAAGGGAGGAGGGGATACAGTAAGGGTCCTTGCGCCGGATGCGTGCTTGGAAGGCATCGGCCCGGGTTCCACCGCTTCGGCGCTGGGTGGGGTCCGGATCCGGCGCGGCCGGGGTGGCTTGGTTCCCGAACTTTGTTTTTCTTCATTGTTTTTTACCTTTGGCGGTTTAGACCCGGAGGGGGCAGGTCTTGGCGGGGAAGGCTCTATTTTTGTTTTCTTTTTTTTTTTTCCCTTTTGTAAGTGGCTTGCGCGGGACGCGCGTGCATCCGTACGAAGAGGGACAAAGGGAGTACAAGCGTGTGTGGCCGGCGGTCGTCTTTCTCTGCTTTTAGCCCGCTCCCCGCAGACCTCTACCACCCGCCGGAACTAGAAGACCTCTGAGGGTGTGAGAGGGGAGGGTGGGCCCATCTTAGGGCAGGGAGATGTGAGAATTGAGCGTCAGGTAGCATGGAGGATGGGGGGGAGGGGAAAACATCGATGACGCCCGGTGATCTGGATTGACTGTGTTTCCTCCGCCTCCTCCACCGGGGGAGTCATCCGGCTCAGCCCCCCCCCCCCCCCCCCCCCCCTTCCAGACCTTTTACCAAGCTGCCGGATCTTACATGGTCCGCCCCAGAGCGTAGGGCCACGAGGTCAGGTACGGCACCAGCTGAGTGTGGCCCGGCCGGGTCTGGTCTAGCTTCTTTTTGGTTACCATTCTCCGTGGGAAGGGTGGGCCACGAGAACAAGTCGATGGTGTGGCAAGAGAATGTTGTGGGGGGGGGGACGAGAAAAAGGTTTTGCTCGACGAGCTTGCATGTCGAAAAAAAAGAGGGAGGAAAAGAGGCGGTGAATCCGGTGCGCCTCGGTGCTAATGACGCGCAGGCGGCAGTGCGTTGGCTCGATCCATAGCTCGGTTGTCTCCCCCCCCTGCCTCCTTCCCCTCCTTCTAGGCTCCAAGTCCAACACCGAGATCACGATGCGCGCTTATGGTGTCTTGTGCCCTGCGTCCCATGGCACTCAGCCGGAGGAAATCATCTTATCTGAACCGACGTCCCTGGGTCGTGGCCGCCTCCAGGTGAAGGCCGCATGTGAAAGTCTAGAGACCACGGCGGTCGGAGGATTCGCACTTTGGAAAGGGGGGGTGGTCAAGTCATGGCCGACAATGACGTTTCCAAGCCGAGAGAGGGGGGGGGGACCTGCTATGCAAGCGCTCTGCGATACCTCTCTCCCGCCTCTCTCTCTGGCCGCGGCAGAAGTATCAAGCGTCCTCGATCACGAGGCGACGTCATCCACAGACACTACCCCGTGTAAAGGTGTCCTCGATTGCGCCGGGTGTGGTTGCGAAAACGAGTAAAAAAAGAAAGGGGTGGCAGAGGGAGGCCGGGGCAGGAAGCGAGCCGAAACCTCGGGACACAAAGGCCCTTCCCTCCGCCATCCTCTCTGTCCCCTGGCGCCGTGAGGTATCGTGAGAAGCACTCTGCAGGCTGGGACAGTCAACAATGGATCCCGAACTTTTTTTTCGTCGTTCCTCGTTTTTCGGGGGGGGGGGGGGAGGTTTCTTTTATTTTGCCGTGTCAAAACGACCTCAGGGTCCGGGTCCGAGTCCGGGTCCGGGCCCGCAGCTGTCCATCCTCCCTCCCGGCGTAAATGCGGGGACCGCCGCACGGAGGTGAGCCGGTGGAGCCCCCCCAGGGAACGTCTTTGAAGCAAGTTAATTGGGTGGGGGAGATGGGAGAGCAAGCACGCTGGTGGCGACCCTCCCCTGGCCCTCCGGGTCGAATGGAGGATAAACGCACGGGCGAGACCGTTAGGGAAGGCGAGAGGCCGCGCTTTACTCTCTCAATCGCCCTCCCCCCCCCCCCCACCTCTCTCCCCTCCTCCATCCCAACCTGAAAGCCCAAAAATAAAAATAAATCAGGGGACGGGAAAGAACGAACGAAAACAAAAAGCGGCATCCGCTCCTGCCGCCTTCCTCTAGATCTGTCTCATGCTCTGGCTAGCTGTGGATCTGGGGCTTCCGGCTTCTAGAGTTTTCCCTTTTTTTTCTCCCCTCCCCCCCCCCCCCCCCCAAGCCTTTGCTCCGGGGACAAGGCCCTTCCCATCCCCATTCCAAGACGGACGGACGGGCGAGGCTTTGCCCCGTCATCATCAGGCGTGCAAAGGTCATCTGCCAAACTCGTCCCAAAAGCCAACGGTTTCAGCACGTAACCCATTCGGCCAGTGGCTGGGCAACTCTATATGCTGCGCCCGGTTCTTGGGGGTTACCCCGTCCGTGGCAACGGCTTGCTGGGACCCTGCTGCCTCCCTGCCTGCCTGTCGGTCTGTCTGTCTCACACCGACAATTATAACGGTGTTTGTTCGGCTTTCCTTTCCCTCTCTACGAGGGCGGGTCCCCTCCCATGACCGCCAGACCCGCAAGACCTAAGTAAAATCAATGGCAAAGAGTGGATGAGCACACACACAAGAGCAGTCACGGAATGATCACCCAGGATGCCGCTCCTCTTTGCTTCTTCATTAAGTTTTTTTCTTCTTTAGAATTTTGGCTCAGAATACAGCCACTCACTGTAGGAACAAAGCGAGTGGATCAGAGGCGTAGGGGGAGGACAACACGATCTATCCAGAGTTGTGTCTGGCGAATGCATGGAGATGGATGAGATCTCAAGTCCGCACATGCATGCAGCCTCCCCGCAAAGTGTTTCCCAAGACCGATGCATTTGCTTCTGCATCTGTCCTTACCGATTCCTCCGGGGCCAGTCACCGTATCCCACGGGACTTTCATCCACAGACCCACCCCAGTTCCGCCTTGCCGTTTGATGGACGCCATTTTCAGTCCGTCGCTCATTATAGCTCCGTTCCGCGGGGATTAGGGACTCCCGACCGAGTCAACCCAACTTATAAAAATGTGGATCCCGTCTCTGTGGCGTTGTTTCGCGATGCCAGTTCCACGGACGGGTGTGTCATATGTACGTTGAACAGAAGGTAGTGTGTCGTAAGCAGGATGGGGGGGTAAACGCCAAACGCCAATGCTTGCGATATCGAGGTCGCATAGAGGGGGTGTCGTAAAATCGTCAGGAAAACAAGTGTAAAGGGTGAATCGTAGCAGGCTGAAAGAAGTCAAAGGACCGCCGGTTGACGCACGCTGTCTGTGCAGACGAATTGATCTATCGATGTACCGTGTGAAATGCCGGCCACTCACAATTTCCGCCGTTGAGAAATGGTGTCCACAGAAAAATACCGGGTGTTCGCCGCAGACAAGGAAGAGGTTGCCCATTCCGGACAGGTCGGGAATCAATCAGAGACCCTCTTCGCCTGCCTTGCAGAGCTTGATCTCGCGCCCCCATTCCGACTTGAGGACCTGAGAGGCTGTGATTCGTCGGGTAGGGTTGGGGTCAAGGATGGAGTAGATGACGTTTCTGCAGCGAGCCTACGGGACATTAGCGTTTGCCGTAGCCTTCAAGTCTGCCGAAAAACTCACTCTGTGCAAGGACTCGATCGGCCCATATCCCTCCTCGTCACGACGACCCTCCAAGTACCTGGCGTAGAACTCGTCCTCGTCCTTGCGCGCAACACGCCAAAGGTGACGGCCGGTACGCATGGCCATGTAGATGACACCGCAGGCCCAGACATCGACGGCGCGGGCATCGAACTCCTTGTCGGTGTATTCCTCGGGAGCGATGTAGGGGGCAGAACCGCAGAGGCCAGACACCATGTGGGGGTCCGTCTCCCAGGCCATGCGGAAGCACTCTCCGTTGCCAAAGTCTGTAATCTTCAGGCCGCCACGGGTAGTGAGAAGCAGATTCTCAGGCTTCAGGTCGCGGTGGGCAACTCCCATCTCGTGGAGATACTCGACACCTCGCATCATCTGTTTGAAGTAGCAATCCGCCTCCTGGGTCTCTAGCTTGCCGGCGGAGAGCACGAGGGTGTACAGGTCACCGCCCGCGCAGAACTCCATAACTTCGCAGTAGTCGCCCTTGGCGTCCTTCAGCAGGTCCAGGGTGTGAATAACGTTGGGGTGGCGGAGCGACGAGGAAATGCAAAACTCGGCAGTCAGGCGCTTGCTGTACTTCTTCTCCGTTTCCTCGGGGCGGCGGCGGAACTCCTTGACGGCGAACAGCTTTTCCGTTCCGTTTTCGATCTTCTTGTGGGATATCCTGACGATTCCGAAGGCGCCACGGCCTACGACCTCTTGGCATTTTCCGTACTTCTCGACGAGGGACGATGTCGCGTTCGGGCCATTCTTCTTGTCTCCCGCCATATCCTCCTTCTCGGCCTTGAGGGTGTCGACCCAATTGGAGACGAGCGACAGATCATTGTCGGCGTTCTCCTGCTTCTTGCCGATGAGGGTGCGCCACATGTCGGAGAGCTTCTCCTGGCGACGGCTTGACTTGAGATGGTGTTCATGGCCACCCTGGAGGTCGGGATTCGCCATGAATCGATGTAAGTCCTTTGCAGGCGGTTTGGCGGGTTTGGCGACAGGTTTTTCAGGAACCTTTTCTGCGGTGGTTGCCGAAGGCTTTCTTGCCGGGGGTTGGGGTTTGTCGGAGCCATTAAAGCTGGAACCACGGGGGCGTTGGGGCACCTCGATAGTGTTTCTGGTGGCGTCTTTCGTGGAGAACATGCGTGTGAGCTTGTCCTTCATCGAAGCCTTCTCGGCAGGTTTCGGCAGGGCCTCATGGGACGAGTTGCCGCTGGCGACGACAGACTGGCCATTTTGCGGAGGCAAACGCGGCGAGTTCTTGCCGTCCGACTTGACTGAGGAAGGTTTGGAACTGGCGGCCAAGGAGCTTGTTGGACTCGCCATAGCGGGGGAAGCTGAAGGCATGAGCGCACGCAGCAGCAGCAGCAGCGGCGGGAAGGTTTCTTTTTCTGTGTGGGTTGTTGGTGGACGAGATTCAAGAGGTGGCAGAAACAGGGGGGATGAAGGGCGGTATATACGCGACTGCGACCAAGCAGCGGCCTTTCGCCTCAGGTTTTTTTTTTCTGGTCTAGTTTTCCTCTTTCCGGTCTGATCTCTCTTGGTTGCTGGCTGTCGGTGACGGACAGATGGTGTCAGCCGCAGTAGGGGTGGGAAAAGTTGCAGCCAAGTAGAGCGAGAGAGGGTAGGGGTAAAATTTGGGGGGCAGCAACGGCGGGTTATGCGGGCGATTGGCGGGGTGGGGAGAGTTAAGAGACTGAGAGTTTTGCGACTCGAGTCGAACACGGAAGTGCCGTCGAGCGTCGAAGCGCAGGTCTCTCTGGCAATGGAAGAGTGCACGCTGTGGCGTCAAGAACGCCTCGGCGTAGTGAGAAGGGCTCGGGCCCAAGTAGACGTGACTCGTAGGACAGACAAAATAGCAGGCGTGTTTCAACCCCCTTTTTCTTTCCCTTTTTTTAAGGTTGTTCTGAGGTTGAGATGTGGAGGACGGGCACCGTTATGGTGAGAGTTTGGAGAAAATAGGTCAGAGGGAGAGGGTAGCAAGGTGAAGAGGAAGGGATGGATGTAGGTATTAAGGTAATATGTAGGTGAAAAGAGTGGGTGAGAGGCGAGATGAAGAGAGAGTGTGTGCGAGAGCGTGAGTGAGAGAGAGAGAGAGAGAGAGAGTGAGTGAGAGAGAGAGAGCCAGGGGAGAGAGCAGTGGGCAGGACACAAAGATGGTAGGGGCGCAGCAACAAGCGGGCGGCGGGCGGTGGGCGGTGGGCAGCGAGCAGCGGGTATGGTAGCGGTCTGGTGGCAGACTGCGCGCGCGGCGGGCAGTAACAAAGTAGCCGGAAGAAGATGGATGGGTGGAAGTGAAAGGGAAGAGAGGGGGGGGGATGGGATGGAAGGGAAGGTCACAACCGCAAATGGCCTTCTGGTGTAAGTAAGGTAAGGTAAGGTACGTAGAGAGAAGGGGCAAGAGAAAGAGAGAGAGAGAGAGAGAGAGAGAGAGAGACTAGCGTAGGATGTGTAGCGTCTTTCCGAGGTGAAGTACCTAGGGCCGGGGTGGGGCTTGATGAAGCAAAGATTGGATAGCCCTGCAGGTCAGTACAGCTGAAAGATGCACGACCTACAGTGCAGCGCAGTCAGTCAGTTTGCAGAGAGCAGATGAAAGGCTGGATGGACCTGGGCCCAAACCCGAATTTGGTACCTTGATCTAGGCTAGCTGGTGGTGCTGGTGGTGCTGGTGCTGACACTGGTACCGGTACCGGTGTTGGTACCAATTGTGGTACTGAGACTGCGACCGATGGCTTGCAGCCAACAAGGGTGGTTATAAGGTACTGCGCAGGTTACGCCGGCTGTGTGGTTATGGCACCGGTACCGGTGCCACTTTGTTTTGCCTTTGCTCTGCGCGAGAAAAGAAAAAAAGGAAAGAAAAAATGAGGGAAAATGGCTGAGGCGGACGGGCGGTGTAAGCGAGCGAGAGACAAGTTGGGTGACGGGGCCAGTCTAAGAGCTTCAGGGAAGCTAGCGAGTGAGCAGCCCCCCTGCTCCCTAAAGATTTGGGGAGGAGCAACAAGCTGTTCCGAACTGGAAAGGCTTGGTCACCGCCGAAACTTTGATATGTCAGCAACACCGGCCCCACGAGGTGGGAGTGCGTGTATGGGGGCGGGTGTGGGTGAGAGAGCTTTTGTGGTTTGGCTGCTTGTTGTTGGATGACAGGCAGGAAAATCTGCAAACACCAGGAGAGAGAGAGAGAGAGAGAGAGACGGGGTAAGACGGCGTGTGATGGGCATAGTTGCCGCCTCATGGTGGTCTGTTCTTGGTGTGGAAGACAATGGATTTCACACATGCTTTTCTGTGACTAAGAGATGCCTCACCTGCACTCTGTGTCATAGACACAGGGCGGACGCATCAAGAGAGCCCAAAAATGTCCGCAGGCCAAGGTTGAACAAGGCCACTAGGCCTGGACCCGTGTTCAAGGCAAACCAAAACCAAATGTGTACCTCTTGTCCAAAAGAAGGGTGTGGTGGATTAGAGATGGTTGGTGGTGGTTTGGTCACTGGCAAAGGGGATGGTGACTGATGGGAGAGGCGCGTGGACCGTGGTTGGCTTTGAGCTTGGTTGCTAGTAGTAGACGTTTGGTGTGGGGGAGACGCACGCCGCCGGGATGCGTTCGCTTCTCAGCGGTAGCTAGGCATTCCAATCTTTACGTGTGTGTTAAGACGGGGGGGGGGGGGGGGGGGGGGGGGTGCCGGAGTATCTCCAATGTTGAACAAGCCGTGGTCGTTTGGTTGGTCGGATGGGGCCAGGTCGACGACGCTTTCACTGTCGTGATATACGGATAGATCTAGGGGAGGGGCCAATAATGAAATGGTATTGCGGCATATGCCAGGATATCTCTTTTTTTCCCCTTCCCTTTTTCCCTTTTCTGTTCTCTTCTTTTCTCTCTCTCCTTCCCGGTGGTCCCACGTCCTGGATATTTTAGTGTGGCTCGTTCTTATTTGTCTTTCTTGCTTCAACGGAGACTCTTCGTAACCTTCCACGGCGGCAGATTTGGGGGGGGGAGGGGGGATCCAGAGGGATTGGCCAGGAGCAGGTCCGTCCATCTGTCACTGGTGCGGTATAAAAAAAAGAATGAAAATCCACACAAAGCCACCACCTCCATGCGCGGTTCGGATACGGAACGGGAAGCAGGGCAAGTACAGACGCAGCTGCATCAGAAGGGGAACATGCCTAATTGTGGACCGCCGGCGTTGGGGGAAATGACGGTGGTTCAAGATAAGGTTAGGTTAGGGTAGGTTAGGTCAGGGTACAACAAGAACGGGGACATGAGAAGGGGAAGAGGGGGGGAAACAACAGAGCAAGAGACACAACGAGTCGTCGTCAGCTACCTACTTAGGTACTTAGTTCAATTGATACTTGGCAGTGAATGGCGGCGCCAGTAGTTGTGGCCTCTAACTGTAACTGTCACTGCACATTTTCTGGCTTTTGGTCTGGGTCAGGGTAGGGCAGACGGAGCCCAGGTGCGCTTACCTAACAAAGGTACCATTTCTCTTACCTAGGTAGGTGGGTAGCCAGGAACTCAGGTAGGTAGCTTTCAGTGTTTGATTAGGTAGACAGTCGAGGTTAAGTTGCAGTGTAATCGACGATACACGTATTGCCGTCTCGTCCCTCTTTTTTTTTTTTCTTTTTTTTCGTTTTCCCTTATTTCCCTGCATACGGCGACCAGCCTCCGATGCTGCCGTCGTCGTCACGTCTCTTGGCTAGGCTCAGCCAAGCACCCAAGGTGCGACATGGCATCGGGCTCGAGGAAAGCCTCGGGGACGGGATGGGTGTGACACAATCCGAACGAGAATCTGCCAGCGCAAGCT